TTAATTTTTATTAATAATAATATTTTAATATTTAAAATAGTTACTTTTAAAAAACTAAAGCTATTAGTAAAAGGCATATTATTAAATATAAAAGTTTTAATAAAATTAGTAAGTTATATAAGGCTATATAGTTTTATTTACTAGCTTTAAAATAATTATATTTAAGTTAAAAGGTAAAAAAAGTAATTAAAAATATATACTTTTAGTATTTTAAAAAAAGTTAATAATATAGCCTTTATAATAATACTGCTATTTATAATATTAATATACTTATATATAAATATAAATATAAATAATAAGTATTTCTTTAACTTATAAAAGCTTAAAAAAGTATATAAGTATATTACTAAAGTTAAAATTATTATTATTAAAAAAGAAATATAAGTTATTAAGTGCTTTTTTTAAATCTTTATAAATATAGTACTAGTATATACTATCCTTAAGCTTTTAATTAAATTACTTTATTTAGTATTAAGTATAAAACTTTATTTAGGCTTAATTTAGCTTAATATACTAAATATATACTAGACTTTAGTTATAAAAAGATAAGGTAATATTATTAAGGTTGCCTTAAAAAGGAATATTTATAGTAAAAGGGGGAGGTAAAAGAGAAGTAATAAGTATTATTATAATAATTTAAGTAGTAAAGATTTATATTAAATAGCTAGTATACTTAAAAAAAGGTAAGATATTTATATTTAAAAAGAAATTATTAAGATTATTATTATTATAAAAGGCATTATAAAAGGTATAAGTATTAAAATTAAAATTATAATTAAAGTAAGGCTAAAGTAAGAAGTAGATTTAATAAATAAAATAGTCTTTATTTATATTATTATTTCTAGCTGCTATAATAGTTTTTTATAATTATTATAAGTATTAAAGGTATTATAAACTGCCTTTTTTAAAAAATTAATATTAAAATAAATATTATAATAAATTCTTAATAAGCTATAATATATAAGGCATTATTAGCTAGGAAGTTATAAATATTAAAAAAAGAATAATACTATTATAATAATTAACTTAATACTATTAATAAATATAATTTTACTTATAATAAGCTTCTTACTGCTTAAAAGTATTATTAAGGTTTACTTTATAATAAAAAAACTATATTATAAAAAATAATATATAGCTTACTGCTTAGCTAATAAGGCTAGGCATTTTTATTAAGTTTAAGCTAAAAAAGCGCAGTATAAAAGGGGGTAATAATAATAAAATATTACTTTACTTAATAAAAGGCTATAAAAGAATATTATAGCACTTTACTTACTTAAAAAACTAGATATTTATTATAAAATGCTTTACTATTATTAAAATTAAATAAATAAGGTTATATATTTAAAAAGTAAAGTATTAATATAAAAGGAAAAAAAAAAAGAGAATATATATAGCTTATAATACTTATTAATTATTAGTATTATTAATATACTAAGCACTTCTTAATAAGCTTATTTAGCTTTTTAAAATATAGAAATTAATTTATTAGCTTAAATTCCTTATAATAAGTATATTAATAAAGCTAAAAAGCATTTAGCTTTAAAGCAGGGTTAAAAGGCTTTAAGTTATTAAAAGAAATTAAAAGTAAAGAAGGGCTAGTTATAGCTATTAATACTATAGCTTAAAAATATTAATTTATTAAGCTATTAAATAATTAATATAAGTATACTACTGCAGATAGCTAATAAAAATAGCTTAAACTAACCTTTTTTAATAATTTAATAATAATATATATTAATAAAAAGATAAAAAAGGGAGTAAGGATATAAGAAAGTATAAAAAAGTATAAAAATATATAGTATTATATAAAAAGTAAAATTAAAAGTATATTAAATAAAAGAAATAATACTAACTTATAAGTAAAGTAAAGGTAAGTATTATATTAAGTTATATAATTAAGATATAAATTTCTTATTAATTAAATACTTAATTTATAAATACCTTTTAAAGGCTTTTTAAAGGCCTTATTAAAAGTCTTTATTAAAGGCTAGCTTATAGCACTTTTACTTATAATGCTATTTACTTATAGCGCTTTTTTATAAAGTAAAATTAATATTATTTAAAAGCTTAAGTATTACTCTTTTTAACTATATAAGTTATATTAAATTTAATTAAGGTATTATATAGTAATTATTAAGTATTATAGTAAGGTTTATATATTTCTTTTATAAGCTAGTATAATATTAAAATAATAACTTTATAATACCTTATTATAATACTTAAAATACTAAAGGAATAAAGTCTAGCTATATTATAAAGCAGTAAGAATAGTAAAAAGAACTAATTACTACTTAAGATTTTATTTAACTTTATTTTAGCATAATTTATCTTCTTATTAATAAAGTAAAGCTAGAAGCCGCCTTACTTATAGTTGCACTATTTGTAAAGCTGCTTTACAGCTTTACTTAATTAATAAAGGACAGGTTGCGCAGGAAGATTAATACATAAGGAACAAGCAGCAGAGGCCAGTCCCTCTTTGGGCATATCGGACATTCCACTTTAACTCATTGCTGCGAACATCGAATTGACCCCATCCGAAATGCTACGATAATCCACCGTGCGCTACCAGTGGCCCGGGCAATCTCACCGGCTTGTGTGTACAAAACGAGCAGAGGGGCGTCGGATCTGTCTTGGTAAAGAGCTTATTCCTTTTCTTAATTTTAGATGGGAGGTCCTGCTTTTGGGAGAGCCCTCACGTAAAAAAAACCGAACAGGGGACGAAATTGGCAATGACATGCCCCCACGATTGAGAGCTGCCTGATTTTGCATGTTTGGGCGCTCGATTGGCTCCTTGAGGATGTCGCTCCAATATGTTCGTACCTTAGTCGTGCTCGTGGTTACATATGCGGCCTCGTATGCAGTTCTCCGCAAACCGGTTACTCGGAAAGGTAAAGACATGATGGAGCAAGACATTGAATGTGTGTCTGCTCACATACTTGTAATAGTATACCATAAGCTCAGACCTATCCGTAATCTGGAGTGTCTCGAGAAGGTGAACACAATTGGGTTGAGAGGGGTGGGGACGAGGACGGCATGAAAGCATGTGCATAGTATCGCATTGGTGATATTGGATGTTCTGCCGCCTCTACAGATTACTAGTACCACTAGTATGACTACCTTATCGCGCACGGATACAGGGAGCTTCCTTGCAAAGGACAGGAGCTAGAGAGAGGGAAAAGAGCACCGGCATTGTCTCTAGCGGAGTGCGGCAGTCGGATGAGAGTTGACGCGAGGTAACATGAAGCAGCTTCAGGGCAGATGAAACTTGGATGCAAAAGCTCCGGATGCCTTGATACCTCGAGAGCCGGAGGAAACAACGCGGTGTTCGACAGGTGCGAGCATGTGCTCTGTACCACTGCATGTTCGTCCTTGTTCTCATAGATGCCTATTGGAGGGATTTTAAAATGGTTAGGTAGGTTCTCCCCCCCCCTTGGTTTTCGTGCCTCGACCGCCTACTTATCAAGCTTGTTTGTGGCCCTGGTCCGCTCGTTCTTGCGTGCTCGCACAACCCGCTAAATCGCTCGAGGATTTCCGTTGCAAAGGTGCCAGTTCAACCAGTCAGCTCAACCGGAGCAAGCATGGCGAGACCGCACAGGGTGGAGCTGGCAATAAGTGAGCTGGGGCTGGGAGAGGAGCGATCGTCAGCTCATTCATTAGCGGACCGCGGGATGGGCAGCATCGCACAGTCTGTTTGGACTGACGAAGTCTGGGTAGGTAGCCAGAGGGCATCGCGTTTCAGTGTTCTGTTCGCCACCTCTTCAAGGCGTATCACAGCACGCTGCTTCGCCTCGACCTCTGTTGTGTAGGTATGCCATCCTTGTGTGAAATGATTCCAAGATAAAGCAATCGATCAGCCGCAGGGGAAGAAAAGGAATGCAATGGCAAGATATGACTTCGCGGAGTTTGGAGTGTGTGTGTGTGTGTGTGTGTGTGATGGACGAGATGTTAGTGACGTGATGCAAGCGAGTCATCTTGGAGTCGAAGCATGGATGGGATTGGAGCTTTTAGCAGTTGGACCAGACTATCTTCGAGAGCGGCATCCGCTCGCTTGCTAATAAACAGTGGACTAGGTACTCAGTACTGTATGACTCTGCATGCACTGAGCATGTTGACAAGCATGCCCATGTGCTGATTACCTTGCTTGATTGACCTGATCACCGCCCGGCTGGCCTCAACGAGCAGCAATCAAGCCATCCATCCATCCATCCATCAAATCCATGCTCGTGTTTCATTAGCAGCAGCGCTCTCTCGGTTATGCGTGGACATTGGCAAGGTACCTACCTCAGGCTACCTACCTTACCTTATTGCGCGGGCAGCCTTATCGTTGGATCAAATGGCCTCAATGGGCTGGTGGTTCCTCGCACGCAGCGCCTGTGGCCACTGCCAGCACCCACTAATCAGAGCGCTGAAGACTGAGAGCCGGTGCCACCGCCAGAGCCCAGCGCAACCCGCTAGCGAGCACCAGCGGAATCCGGCCAGGGGTCACAGAGGCGCCATGGGTCGTCTTGGCACCAGGCTTGGCTCGCTGCGAGATGGGGTTGGCGAATCAATCAATGGACGATGTGGCCAGTCTTGCCGCAAGCGTCCCAGGCAAGGTAGGTAGAGTGACTGGAGTGAGTGAGTGGCCAGCCCAGTGCTACTAGCAACGGCTGTCGACCTAGGTAGTAGTACTTAGGTAGGCAGTAGGGTACTAATGTACATGCACAGTACATGTACTCAAGGTCCAGTAGCAGTAGCAGTAGCAGTAGCGTCTGGTCCCCCATCCCATCCATAGCAGTAACCAGCCCGAGCAGTAATTTGCCCGCCTCTGGCCTTGGTTCCCGCGCCAAATTGCAACTTCCACACTCTTCAATCCATTTCCATCGCCTCTCTTCTCGCGGGCTGCCAATCTCTCCAGGCCGGAAAGCGATGCGGCGGCTGTAGCGACTCCAGAGCGACCCGAATCCATCCCCGCCAGACGCCTCACCCATCTTACCTGAGACTCGACCTCACCTCTCTCACCTCGCACTGACCTGTGCCGTGTGCAGCCTGCCCGCCGGGACAGACCACCTCAGACGGAGACGGAGAGTCTAGTCGCTCGTTAACAATCCTCGAAACAGCCTCAACCTTAATTCTCCTGGACTCCGTGCGCTTCCTCGGCGCCCGGATGCGTTGACGTCGCCCTTCTCTTGGATACCTACCTACTATCCTCTTCCATCGAACTCGACTGCCCCTCGTCGTCGAGCGTCAAATTCGGCGGAGCGAGACAGACAAGACGCACAGCGCAAAAAACTTTCACACGCGGCCAACGCTCGTCACCTCTTTGGCGAAACCTCCCAACGCCGCGTGTCTGCCCCCAGCACCAGGTACCGTCATTTGCAACAGGACATAGCATCGCAGGCTTCTCAACACCGACGACCACCATGAAAATGCTGTCGCCCGGATTTCCGATGCGGCGGTCGTCCGGCCTTGTGCGGTACGGCGTCTTGGCGGCCATCCTGCTGCTGGCCCTGTACACCTTCACCCGCAGCTCGTCCGATATCTCGCGCCTACCACAGCCGTTCCCAGCAGACAATTCGCTGCCGGAGCACCAAACGACAGATCCGAACCCCAATGCCAACAGTGGCCCTGCCATCCCGCCGGGAGGCGCAAAGGCTCCTGTCGCGACGGCGCCGCTGTCCCAGGGAACCTCAACACCGGCCCACGAGCCAATCCACGACTCGCTACCCCCGCTCAAGCCTCCCACCAGCAGCGACCACCCCATTGACAAGCTGGTGTACGACGCCCAGATGACGTTTGCCGAGCTCACCTCGAAGCAGTCCAACACCGTGGAAGAGGCTGCCCAGGCCTATCGCAAGCGCCGCGGCCGCCACCCTCCGCCCGGCTTCGACAAGTGGTTCGAGTTTGCCCGCTCCAAGAACGCAATCATCGTCGAGGATTTCTTCGACCGCATCTACCAGGACCTGCAGCCCTTCTGGGGCGTTGACCCGGCCGTCATTCGCAAGGAATCGTGGGACTATGAGATGACAATCAACATCCGCGACGGTAATGCCACTGCGCGAAGCGACTTCTTCTGGACCAAGATTTGGCTCAAGATGATCAAGACCATCGACCACCTGTTGCCGGATATGGACATTGCACTCAACGCCATGGACGAGCCCAGGCTGGTTGTTCCCTGGGAGGAGATGGCCGAGTACATGAAGAATGCGTCCAAGACGGTCAAGATTCCCAAGGCCAAGGACACCATCCGCGAGTTCCAGAAGCTGCCTCGTCCGGGTACCGGGGATGTCGAGATCAAGACGCGCGCCAAGAACTGGGAAAAGACAAGTAAGTCGCCCCGTCTTTGTGACTCTGTGGTCGCCCTGTGGGGACGGCGACGGGGGTTTCCTTTACTTGCTCTCTTGTTGCTCAACTGGGACACTAACAATGCTTCTCACCACAGAGCCGTACTGGGCCATCGCTCGACGCGGCTGTGCCCCCGACAGCCTCGCCCGATCGGTAGGACTCGTGCAAACCGCAAACCGGACGCCCGACATCAACTTGACATACGCCGAACCCCACATGTACAAGGGCTACGTCTCCAACTTTTCGCTCTCCACCGAGATCTGCCACCAGCCGGACTTGCAGGCCTTGGAGGGCATCTTCATCGAGCCGCTGTCTACTTCTGCCTCCAAGGTCCTCTTCCCCATGTTTGGAGGCTCCAAACTGGGAGTCAACAACGAGATCTTGCTGCCTGCACCCATGTACTGGAACGAGGAGGAGCGCTTCACGGGCGGCGACAACCATGGCATCCCCTGGGCCGAAAAGCACAACAAGGCCATCTGGCGCGGTGTCGCAACGGGAGGCCAGAACACCGCGAGCAACTGGCGTGGATTCCAGCGCCACCGATTCGTCGCCATGAGCAATGGCACGACCGTCGCGCGAGTGGAAAAAGGAGAGAAGCCGGAGAACTTTGCGCTGCCACCAAGCGAGGAATACAACATCCAAGCTCAAAAGGACGGCAAGCTCGGCGAGTGGATCAACTCGTGGGCCAACATCAGCTTCACGGATCTCAGCTGCACGCCTCCGCAAAACGGAAAGTGCAACTACACAGGCCACTACTTCAAGCCGACTAAGGGAATGAAGATGGCGGAGCAGTTCGATAACAAGTTCATTCCGGACATTGACGGAAATTCCTTTTCTGGGCGCTACCTCGGTTTCTTGCGGTCCACCTCGCTGCCCATCAAGGCCACCATCTGGCATGAGTGGCACGATAGCCGCCTGGTTGCGTGGAAGCACTTTGTCCCCATGGACAGCCGCTTCCTCGACTACTACGGCATCATGGAGTACTTCCTCGGGTACGAGGGGCGCAACGGCCACGACCGTGTTGCGGAGAAGATTGCTACCGAGGGCAAGGAATGGGCCGAGAAGGTCTTACGCAAAGAGGACATGCAGATCTATGTGCTGAGGCTCCTGTTTGAGTATGCTCGACTACTCGACGACAAGAGAGAAAGCCTTGGCTGGGTAGACGACGTGCTGAAAGATCCGTCACTGGAGAAGACGTGGAAATGGTGGTGGTAATGACTTCACATCCTCCTTTTTCTCTTCACCATTCTACCATCATCCCCAATTTTTCTCTTTCTTCTTCTCCTCTCTCCTACCACCCATTTTACGTTTCTTCTTCATTTACCTTTATATTTTTTTTTCCTCTCGCAATAATCGAGTGTGACGATGCATGAGTTGGAACAGTTTGGGACTTGGATAGGCCTGCGGCGTTTGGCGTGGAAGTCGTTTGTACGCTTCTCCATATCGGCAACGAAAGTAAATTACGGTGAAGGTCTGTTTGTAACGAAAACTGGCGGACGACAGGCGATTTGACAATTGATACCTGGTAAAGAGAGTGGCAGGACTTTTTTAGGGGATTCATGTTGCAGTACCAATCCAGCATTTTCTTTTTCTGTTACCTACACTGGCATGACGGTTTATTCTTCCTTTATTCTTCTTCTTGATGCCTCCTGACAAACTCTCGAGAGATTATTTCTTCCTCTCTCTTTTCCTCCTCCTCCTCCTCCTTCTTCACCTCCTCTTTCTTGTCTTCTTCTTCTTGTCTTCTTCTTGTTCTTGTTCTCTTCTGCTCCTGCTCCGTGTAATTTGACATCACCATTGTATGTAGGTACTCTGATATATCGAACCTTTGTGATAAATGATAATCCAGAAATTACACAGTCCGAACCAGATCGAGGCAAAGACACGCTTTTCTGCAGACACGAGAAGGCTGCCAAGTAATACGGCAAAGCAAAGTGACAAGACTAGGTCTACAGCAGCATTTCAATACGGTGGTGGGATCAAGGCAAATGAAGTCAAATGAGGTCAAATTGAATCCAATCAAATGGCGTCCAGATTGGGTTCGAGAGCCTTACCGCCTATTCCAGGCTCTGCGGGGGCCCCCCTTTCAATGACAGGCCAGCCCAGCCCCTAATCGGCCTCTCTAGAATCCCACTGGCTTCCGCGGCTCTAGCGCGTGCAAGCACTGAGCTGCAGGCGCCCAGGGTACCTATGTACCATAGCAGGTACCTAGCACGGGCTAGGTACTAGCAATTCGTGCCCTCTGGTTGAGGTGGGATTCCAGTGATTCTGGCTCAACTGCTCCGTCAGGCTCTGGACGAGGCTCGAGCTCGCATCAAGCTGGCACCACTTTGACCTCCTCCCTCCTCTCTCTCCGCCCCCTCTGCTCACCACCGCTTGCCTTCCTCCATTGGATTCGCGCCCACGGCTGAGGTTCAACGCTCTCGCGCTTCTCTCCAACCCTCCCCGGCCGAAACAGAGGATAGCCCCAAGATGCACCATGGCTGGCGTGGATGAGAACACCGCCCAGGAGCCCGACTTTCGCTCCTCCTCGTCCAGTCGCGCCCAGACCGAGAATGGCGGCCCGGGCACCGCTCCAGCAGCTGAGCGCTCGACGACGGCGACCAGCAGCTCGCGCTCGCCACAGCAGGAGAATGCGCCGGCGCCCCCCAAGCACGCATCGTTAGCCCCTAAACCACCGGGCAGCAAGCTCTCCCCGGAGGCGGCGCGGACTGCGTCTTCTTCGTCCTCGTCTCGGCCCAGAGCCGGCGGCGGCAACTCGCCTGCGCTGCCGGGAGAGCAGAGCTACTTCGAGACGACGGCGCTGGAGCCGACGCTCAACGCGGACGAGACCCTCTCGGAGGACGCGGCCCAACAGCACTTTGACGATGTCGAGTCGAGCTTCCTGCCGACCTTGTCCCCGATCCCGACCGCCCCTGCGACTGCCGGCGCAACTGCTGACGACAGCTTCGTTTTCGACCTGCCCGCGAAACGGCCTGCTCAGCCCGCCAAGAGCTCTGCCCAGCCCGAGGACCGGGCCAAGTCGTCGCAGTCCAGGCCAGAGCCGCGATACGAGTCGAGCTACAAGGCGGAGCAGGACTACACGCACCAGTTCGACTTTCACCCCGATTCCGAAGACGACTTAACCAGAGCGAGCAACACCACTTCCAACCTCGAAGATTTCGATTCCTCGCCCGCTGCGGCGGCAGCCGCTCGGTCCATTAATCGTGCCACAAACGCTGCTCAGAACAACCAGAACACCCCCAGGGTGGGGGCACAGGAGGAGCGCGGCAGGAATGGGCAGGATGGCGCTGGCGGATCTGGCGCCGGTGGCCAGGACTCTTCCGCTTCCTCGTTTCGCCATGCTCAGCAGGCCGCGGAGCCATTCGACGCGAGCGGCAGTCCTGGGCATGCCCTGCGCAACAGGCGCCCCAAATACGTTCGCAGCAACCGCTTCAGCAGCTCGCGATCCTCGACCTCCTCCTTCATCACCAATCCCGAATCGCAGGAAGACAGTGATGCTACCGTGGGAACCGTAGGGTTGGGACTGGACTATGCGTTACATTCTGGCGGAGCGGTGCCCAACACGGGCATGTCTCGAGCTCCCTCGAACCTGCTGCTGCGCTCAATAAGTACGGGCAGCATGACTTCTGGCATGGGCACGGACGAGTTTGGTGACAACACACGTCAGCTAGAGCCGCTGGCAGAAGTGGACACTCCCACCAGGGGAAGGGACAACAACTATAGGATGGTGACGCCCAAGGCCAAAGACAGCATGAACACCGCTCCCACGGATACCGTCATCGCCCAGCACGTTAAGAACGTCCACGTCCCGGATTCTGTAGCGAAGGAGTTCAAGTTCGAAAATGGCCTACAAACTCCTCGGATGTCCATCTCGAACGCCACTGCAGTCAACAGCGCCAAGGCTACGGGCAAGGGGGGCAATCAGAACTGGACTCTGAAGGAACAGAGCAGCACGATTGAGAGACTATCGAAGGAGAACTTTGACCTGAAGCTGAAGGTCATGTTCCTCAGCAAACGGCTCGACACCCTCTCGGAAGAAGGCCTCAAGGAGATGATATCCGAGAACGTCGAGCTGAGAACGAATCTCGCGATAACAACGCGCGACAACAAGATCCTGCGGAAACGAGTCAAGGAACTGGAAAAGAAGGAGAAGGAAGACGAAGAGAGGCCGAGCACCGCGCGGAGCGCTGCCTCCTCGACCGACCAGACAGCCAAGATGTACAATGAGGAGGCGCAAGAGCGGGAAGAGGAGCTCATGTTTTTGCGGGAGCGTGTCGAAACGTATGCCACAGAGATTGAAAGGCTCCGGAGCGAGACGATGGATAGGGAGTCGGAGAAGAAGAAGCTGTCGGATATCGTCAAGACTCTCGGCGAACGGTCAGGAGACGCTTACGGACGCCAGGAGGAGGCGGATGTCTGGAAGGACTTGTTGGAGCAGGAGACTGCGCGCAGAGAGCAGGCGGACGAGGACAACAGGAAGCTGCGGGACGAAGTCTTCCGCCTCAAGAAGGAGATGTCTGGCGCCGGCTCGGGGATGATGCACCATACGACCAACATTTACAACATAACCAAGAAGCCGCGGGATCGCAACGCCTCACCGGGTCGGCCCATGTCCAGCGTCTCTGGCGACGTCGACGGATCGCATGCTAACTTCAGCGCCGCTAGCACCTTGGTCGACGAGTTGCGCCGGGAGAGCGAGCAGCTGCGGCACGAGAATGCCGAGCTTCGGCGTGAGGTTGGGGCCCAGACCTCGATGCTGACTTCCAGAAACCGCGAAAAGGAGCGCCTGTACCAGGAAATCGAGGACCTCAAGATGGCCCAGCGGCGCGGCGGCCCTGCACCCTCTACCATTGATAGCCTCTTGGAACGATCTGCATCGCGTGCCGGCGGCCACGACAGGCCGGGCTCGCGAGGCAGTGTTCGGACGAGACAGCTGACGGCGGAGGACGAGGCAGAGCGCGAAGAGCTGGAGAACCAGATCGCCGAGACACGCGACAAATACAACAAGGCCATGTTGGAGAATCAGGACCTGAGAGGCACGTTGGACAGATGTCTGGGCGATCTGGAGGAGCTCTCTCACGAGAAGCGCATAGCAGAGGAGAATATCTTGGCCTTGCAGGAAGAGGTTGAGAATATGGGCAAGGATCTCGTCGCCTTGCAGCAAGAGCGCGACGAAGCCTTGGTCGCCGAGCAAGCGCTTGAGGCTGAGATGGAGGCTCTTAGGGCGGAAGCACAGGGAGAGATCGACCTATTGGACGCCGAAATCGAGAAGCTCAACATTGAACTGCGCGACAGATCCGAAAACTTTGACAGTTTGCAAAAGGAGATGCGGCAGATGAGCGAAGCCCTCCTCAGCCTGGAGGACGAGCAAGACCAGAAGCTTCAGCACATCCAACGGCTTGAGGAGGAGCAGGCCAATCTAACCCACCGGATTCAGCACATGCAGCAGGAACAGGAAACGTCCAACAAGGAGCTGGAGGAGCTGGAGCAGAAGCTCCTCGAGGCCAACGAAAAGAACCAGCGTCTCTCTGTCCAGCAGGAGTCGTCCCAGGGCGAGATCTCCTTCCTCCGGGAAGAGCAGGAGGCAGACAAGATACGCATCGGCGACCTCGAGGCCGCCCTCTCCAACACGCAGAGGGGCCTGGAGGACGAAAAGGAGCGGGTCAAGGAGCTGGAGAACCGGATGCAAGAAGAGCGCGCACAGTGGGAGGATGTGACCACTAAGAAGGACGCAGATGTGCAGCAAATTTTTGCCAACCTTCAGCGCGAGAATGCCAACGCCAAGGACGAGGTCAAGCGGCTGCGCAAGAGCCTGTCGTCCCGCGAGGTCGAGGCAACGGAGTGGAAGGAGAGGCTGCTGGAGCTGGAGAATAACCTGAGGGAGGCATTGGGTGACCTCAACGGCACCCGTTCTTCGCTGCTCAAGGTAGGTCCCGGATATCACACTGGCAGCTGGTTTTGATCTTCTTGCTAACACGTGTTTTCTTTTTCTTCACAAGTCTATTGCGCGTATGCAGCGCGAGCTCGAGAATACCGTTCGCGAACTCGATACCTCCAAAGCGGCATTGGTTGAAAAGGACCGCATCATCAAGCAGCGTGACTCGCTTATGGAGTCACACGCTCTGGAGACTCGCAAAATCACCGAGCTGCTGGAAAAGGAGCGCGTTGCCCATCGCAACACCAAGTCTCAGTTCGAGTCTTTCCAAAAGACACACCAGCACCTCACCCGCACGGCGAGCACGCAAGATGTCCGCATTAGCGAGCTGGAAGCCACGAGAGGCCAGGATCGCCGTAAGCTGGCCATGCTGGAGCAGACGGCCCGCGAGCAGCTGCTGGAGAGGAACGAGCTTCTTCTCCTTCTGTGGCACAAGCTGAGCTCGCTCTGCGGCCGGGAGTGGGCTAACAACAATACCCTCGTGGACCGGCAAGTGGTGCCGACGCTGGAAGTCATAGCGAGTCGCCTGCCAGGATTCTCCAAGAATCTCCTGGCTGCCGTCAAGACCATCGAGGGTATGTTTGCCGCTCTGCAGACCAAGATCAAGTCTGTGGAGAAGGATCTCTACCGCGAGTACCAGGCTCTCGAGAACAACCTGGACGCGCGAATTAAGAAGCTGGACCGGCTGGAGACCATGGTCCGCAATTCAATCGCCACCGGCTCGCTGGGCCATCAGGAGGTGTCGAGCAGGATGCTGCGCCTCGAGGAGGCATACCGCCAGCTCAAGGTGGAGAATGCCACGCTGAGGACTGCTAATGATGTTCGTGCTCGCGCGGCCCACCAAGTTCCCGGGGCCGGCTCTGACGGGGGCGCCGTCTCGCCATCGGCTGCCCGTGGTCCAGGCGATCGCAACTCTAAGAGCAGGGGTTCATCCGCCGCGCGTCCGCCGTCCACTTCCGGGATCCCGGTGTCGTCTTCTAGAACGGCGGGACTGGGCCTCTTGGACGCGTCGAGTGCCGACGGCTCGGCCAACGACAATCGCTGGCTGCTGCGGCTCCGGGACATGGAGTACAAGCTGAAGATGGAGCGGGAAGGGCGCAACCAGGACAGGCAGGCGGCAAGGCAGCGGCTCGGTGGCCTCGAGAACGAAAACCGGGATCTGAGGGAGAAGGTGAGGCGCGCAAACGCCGACGCCGACTAAAGCTGCCCGGAGCTTGTTTTTTTCGTTGTTCCTTTGCCCCTTTTTCTTCTTCTTCTTCTTCTGCATCAGCCTCCTCTATTGTTTCTTGTTGACATCATACACTTTATTCTATTTCATTTTGACGAGAGCGCCTATCTTTGTTTGTACATTACGGATACCTGTTATGCCTTGGAGAGTAGAGAGGGATCGGTGTACGGACACGATGCTGTTTTTGTTTAGGGACGCACATTGGGGAGGATTTTTTTTTCTTTTCTTGCAAGAAATCCAAAAAAAAAGGGGGGAAACAAGGACACGAAGCTGGCACCTTGATGCTTTCCATTTGGTGGATGGGGGGGGCCCTTGGTTTACTCTTTTGCGCGCTGGAGGAATTGTTGTCATGAACCCTTCTTCATGCTACCCCCCTTCCGATCACACATATTTCATATGTATCACATGCAAGTCCTCTGCACTTGTTTAGTCTCGCCGCATTTCTTCTTGGGTATTGTTGGATTCTTCAGCAGTAGTAGTTGGCAGTTTGGTCTATGCTTGGCCCGAGGGGAAACAAAATGCAAGGGGAGGGAAAGCAGAACAGAGCAGGGAAGAGCACAGAAGAGAAGAAGAGGCTTGAACAAGTTGACATTGATTGAGGGCCGTGGATAGGTACAATATCATGGGAAGCTTTGCGTTTTTTTGGTGCTGGTGTAATCCTTGTTTGTTCTCTTGATGAAATGATTCTGGTCCTCTCCGGCTCGATCTTATGCCGTTTGACGAGGTGCTTTTTTCTTTTGGCTATTCTGGACAAAGGCTTGGGCTATTCCGTCAGTGACGGTTCTTGAATACCTACGAGAAGATGCTGTATTTCTTAGCTTTCTGGAACAGGTGGCTCTATTATCGTGGGAAATTCGGTGTGTGAGGAATGCAGCACTTTCAGCAAGTGTTTTACAGGAGAGGCGGAGAGGAGGCTTCATGCCGTGTAAGTGAGATATAGACGAACGAGCCTCCATGCCATTCCTTTTAGACCAAGGTACGAGTGATACACACATAGAGTTATATAGTTTAAGACGACCAGGATGCAAGACCTCCGCACGCACGAACAGGGATTCAATTCACAAACAAAATCCCGATAACAATATGTTTTATAAAGAAAAAAAGAAGCCATTAGCCTATATATAAAATCCCCCCCCTAAAAAAACAAATGGCGTGCGACAAGATAGACTTGAATCAACAAGAAGTTCAATCCGAGAAAAGGCGAGAAATTGGTTTCGGGGAAGTGGGGACCGGGGAGTTGTGTGGAGGAAAGCGGATTTGCCTAAAGGAGACATGCCGGGGGGGAGGAAAGGATACAGAGACATGGAAATTACTCCGATGATATTCTCCTACGCTTAATTTTGCCGTGGGGGATGATGTAAAGCGTTGGTACCTGGGACATACATAGAAAGTATTACGACGTGTTTTATCTGGGTTTATTACTTTACTCGGTGATGTGCCCTTTTTTGGGTCAGAGGATTCTGGTCCATGGGTTGAGATAAGCTTGGATATGGTATGATGATTGGTGAGAGGATTTGACGGTAGGGGGATAGAGTGTGTTGTGGAGAGGCTGCTCTAAGGAGGACGGATGTAGATTGCTGAGACGGAGAAATAGTACCACGAACCGAAGAGTTGATCTTATTGTGATAAACGATATATCATGGTCTCATCAATGCTTGTACTTCATCATGATCGTAACGGGATGCAGTCTTCTCTAGTCTGTGAGACCTGGAACGGCAAACCATCCGAACCACCATGCTCTGCAGCTGAGCTGAAAACCCACCTCCCTGGCACATCTTCCCACAAAAACCGACCGAATACCAGCCATTGGGGTAGCAACAGCTCTTCATCTGGCCAGAATCCATGTTGGACACACGCAGGAGCATCGAACTTTCTAAAATCTCATCGCCGAACGGATGGAACCTCTACTCTTTAGCCTATATCGTCTGGTCTGGCAAGACAGGCATCGGCTGTCACCATGTGATCAGGTGCTCGCCCTATAGATAGACGATGAGGCAGGTCATTTTGTGCTCCTGGCTTTGCTTTCTGCGGCAAGCCAATGGTCTTACACAAATGACGCCATGTAAAAGTTGATAGCTCGTCATCTTGTGCAGTGACCCCCCCCTTTCGGGATGCTTTCCTCTTCTCCCGCCGTTGCCCTCTGATTGATTCGATGGCCTTGGGGTTTCGGGTTAGGAGGAAGCACTCATGTGATCAAAAGTGGGAGGAGGCCGCGTCGGCCGGAAGGAAGCTTCGTTACACGGTCATGAGGCATGGTGACTGTGAAAGGATGAGGAAAAGGGGGGCGGTATCACCTCCCAGGCGGGACACTCCGTCGTATCTAACACCGCTTACGGATATCAATGGCTTTGCAACGTTCCGGAACTGATGAGTTAGAGTTGGGAGCTAAAGAAGAAAGTTGTTAGGGGTCAAAAGCTGGCCACGGCTTGCTTGTGTTGTGCACACTCAACGACAGGGCTCGTTTTGGTGTGGATATCAGGTTTGATACCCATCTCAGACAGTGTCTCACCTGCCCCAATACCGCAAGACCGCATTCCGCCGCCTCTGGGCCTTTGACAATCTCGATCAGGCCATGATCAGAGATTAAAAAAACAAAGGTCCCAACGACAGCGACTATCGTCCTCGTGCCGGGGAGATTTAGGTTTACGTGGCTGAGGCGGGGCGCGGAACGTCCCAAAACAGCAGCCCCGTGCGCCTCCAAGTCGTTGGCATGATAAATAGTCTGATGATTATGTTCCCTCGGATGGCGATTTTGACTTAATCTTCGATTCAGAGTTGTGTGCCGCTTCGCATCGTTGCCTTGTGCTGACACTTGTGAATCATCTTGTCTTCGCGGGTGGGAGCCTCACTACACGACACCAATATGCTGCGCTCACGCTTCGCGAGAGCCTCGCCCACCCTGCGCCGCTGCCTTGCGACGGTGCACACTCCAAAACCGGCGCCCAAGAGGCAGGGCGACATCTCAGACTCGTTTGTTTCGCTGTCCGGGGCGGAACAAACGCCGCTGCCAGATCGGTTCAGACAACTCAAGCTAGAGCTGGTCAGGGGGCGGGAGAAGGAGATTGTCCTCAGCTGGCAGAGGCTGTTGCATGAACTGCAGAGGGAGAATGAAGTCATTGCGCGAAAAGGCCCTGAAGTCATTCCGCAGATCAACTTTGCTGATCTTGACAACGGACTGGATAAGAGTGTCAAGGGGGAGATTCTCAAGAGGGGTGTGGTAGTCGTACATGGTGTAATCCCAGAGCGGGAGGCGCGGGGATACAAGACTTGCATCGAGGAATATGTCAGGAAAAACCCACAGACAAGAGGTGAGGCTCAGGAACTAGAAGCCATGGCTTCTCGCGAGAATACTGACGCCCGAAATAGCCTTCCCCCCTCACGATCCGCAGGTGTATGAGCTGTATTGGTCCGAGTCGCAGATCAAGGCTCGCTCACACCCTTCCATGCTGAAACTGCAAAGATTCCTCATGTCGGAGTTCTGGTGGTCGCCATCAGGCGATGCTCGCATTTCCCTTGACGTCCCGCTGTCTTATGCCGACAGGCTCCGTATCCGCCAGCCAGGCGATGCGGCCTTTGCACTCGGACCTCACATTGACGGTGGCAGCGTCGAGCGCTGGGAAAAGGACGGATACGGCCGTGGCCACGTCTATGACAAAGTGTTTGAAGGCAGATGGGAGCAGTATGATGCCTGGGACGCCGCCGCTAGAGTGGACGCCGTCAACAATCTGTACAACGGCTTGGGCGCATGCAGTGCCTTTAGAGCTTGGCAAGGCTGGGTTTCCATGAGCCGAGTAGGGCCAGAAGAGGGCACTCTGTTAACGTATCCCCTGATGATGTCGACGGCATACACTCTTCTGAGGCCTTTCTTTAGACCGATTGACAACTCGAAAAAGGGGCGTGCGTTCCTCGACGAGAAGAACTGGGAATTTACTGCTGGTGATCAAATGACCAGCGACCTCCAAGGAGCTCATCCAGGGCACGGGCAGGAGCTCAACGATGAGCTCCATCCTCACTTGGAGCTTTCCCGGACCATGACCCATGTGCCCGAGATCAAGCCCGGGGCTTTCGTGGCGTGGCATTGCGACAGTAGGTGTTCAACCCCAACTCCTATTTGAGCTTCTTTGCCCTTCTCACTTTGTGCGAAACGCTGACTCTTCCGCCTTCTAGCCATTCACGCCGTCGACAAGGTTCACAAGGGACAATCTGATTCAAGTGTGCTCTACATCCCCGTATGCCCAGTGACAGACCTCAATGCAGAATATCTCGTCAGACAGCGCCAGGCTTTTCGTGAAGGCACACCGGGACCAGACTTCCCTGGCGGCGAAGGAGAGTCAAAACACATCGGCCGCCCGACAGAGAAGATGCTGTGGGAGTGGACGAATACCGAGGGCCGACGAGCAATGGGCTTGGAGGAGCTGGTCGTAGATGGTTCAGCCATGCCGGGAGCGAGGGCGGTGGTGGAGAGGTTTAATGCGACCTTGGGACTGCATTGAGTAGATGTCCGTTTTCCTCAGATTGTTTGGGAGGAACTTTGTTTGCTGGTAATTTTCCATACCACTGGGGGAGTTGGTCTGCAGCCCGAAAGCGAGAGCATGCAAGGGGATGATGAGATGACAACTCATCTTGGAGTCATTCGTGATAGCAGCTTCCTGTAATACCGTTTTTTATCAAAAGATTTCCCACGTCATATTGAAGTGATCTTCGCTTGCTGATGAGTGAAACCAAGCTGCTGACGAAGGACGGCTCACTGTATGTTCCAATCATGGTCGTTGATTGTTAATGAGGTGTCAGTGTAGGCTCTGAACTGAGGTCTAGCACGAATCCTTCAAGGCTGAGAAAAGTTTTCTTCACGTCCTCATCAGGTTGATATATAATCTGCTTGGTAACCAGGGTGCTTTGGATCGTGCAGGTGTGACAGCTCTGAATCCTTCAGCTAGTCGTCGCGGGATGGTATTGGACGACGCCCCTATTCGTCGTGACTAGCCATTTGTCAACCGTCGAACGTAGGAATACGGTGCTGACAGAGCAGCCGACTCCCGAGCGTATGTTGGGGACTTGCTAATAGCCGCAATGTCCATTTCGGGAAGCGACACCAGGGCACTCGGTGGGAATACAGAGACGGCAGATCAGCCAAGGCCAGGGAGTGCGGAGAACCACAAGTCGTTCGTTCGTTGCCTGCCGGCTGTCAATGCCTGATTTGGATCTCCAGTGCGAAAGTTCCAGATGGCCAGATGGCCAAAATTTCCCGCCCCCCTCCTTCGGGTCGTCGGCCTCGCATCGCACAGGCTCGGCAGCCCGTGATCCGAGCAAGGCGAGGCACACGAAACTGCTTGTTCATGCAGCACGTTTGGCTGCGATCCACCGCATTGAGTCGTGTTGTTTGCGATTGGCATCTCGCTTGGTTTGACCCGGGGCGAATGGTTCGATTCGATTCTAGGTAATTAGTAATCCAGTCGTTAGCTAGCGATTCTCCTTGCGGGCCACGGCAACAGCTCCAGCACTCAGCTGTGGCTAGGGAAGCCTCTCCGTGGGGCTTGTTGGGAGAGACAGGAGAAAGCAGGGGTCATGATTCGTCTCGTTTGCTTGGTACGAGAAGGCCGTTGGTTTTGGAGTACGGAATTGCACCTGTCATTGGCTCCGTGAGTAGAGGATGAGGTCGTAAGGAGGCGGAGTTTGGACTCGAATGACGGAGTTGGAAGATGGAGTTGGAAGATGGAGATGGAGATGGAGATGGAGATGGAGACGGAGAAAGAGACGAAAGAGGAGGAGCGACTGGGCAGCCGTGCACACCCGTACTTGCTTGCACCAGGAGCGTGCCTGATACAGCGGCAAGAGTGGTTCTGGCAAGTGCAACTTGGGGCTACGAGTACGTGTACGAACCATGGCAGGTGGAGGATATAGAATTGCAGAAGGTGCCAGATATATCCAGATCTCCAGACTCTCGTCTATATATACCCAAGGCCACTCCCGCTCTCTTACCAGAGTTCATAGCCAGACCAAGAGACATCGACCACAACTATCCTCTACACACTCACACTCACACTTACACGCACCTCCAAACAAACAACCGCTCTTCCAAAGCCGAACCATCATCATCAACCACAAACTCCAACCGCCCACCATGAGCTACTCTCTCTACGACGCCACCGTGCCTCTGGCCCAGAACGCCCTCAAGGCCCTCACCAGCATTCTCAAGAAGGGCGAGGCTGCTCCCAACGGTGCCAGCCTCCTCAACGCCCGCATCCACCCCGACATGCTGCCTCTGACCTTCCAGGTCAAGATGGTCACCGACACCACGACCAAGCTCGTCGCCCGCCTGACCGGCACTGAGCCTCACGCCTGGGAGGGCGAGATCGAGACGTACGCCGACTGCTACGCCCGCATCGCAAAGGCTGAGGAGATCCTCGCCTCTGCCAGCAAGGACGTCATCAACCAGCGCCAGAACGAGACCGTTAACGTCGGCATGGGATCTCTGGGAACCTTCGCCATGAGCGGCCCCAACTACGTCAACGGATATGTTCTGCCCAACATCTTCTTCCACCTGTCGACCGCCTACAACATCCTGCGCAAGGAGGGCGTGCCCCTGGGCAAGGCCGACTACATTACGTCTTTTATCGGCGAGTTCCTGACCAACAAGGTGTAATGGATCAGTGGAGGAGAATAACGAACAATTGTTGAAAGAATCGTTTAAGGCGCAGACAACTATAAGACTAATCGTTTGTGTTTGATTATGGAGGAGAGCGCACTGGAATGATTTGATGATTTGAACCTATACCCAACAGCTTCACTTCTAGACGGGGAGACGAGGACGCATAAGCATAGAGCAACTGATAGACAATATCAATTACTTGCATTTGCTTTCACATGAACAGAGCTCAAATTTGACATTGCTGCCGTGAATATGACAAGACGTGACGTCGGAGGATGCGCATGTTTATCCGCAGTCGCCGCAGAGGCACATGCAGCTTTACCTCAGCATCATCTCGCGACTAAATCTGCGCCAATCTTTTATTCTCCGAATCCTACAAAACCCATCACCCTTGCCTCTTCCCAACCCTTCTTCCCCGCCACGTGAGGCTGCGAGCTCGTGACAGGCACCATGTCGCCGTTATGGTATGCGCTTCGGCTCATCCAGGCCTTTGAAGACAGAATCATCGAATCCGTACGTGCCCTGCGTGACACTACCTTACCTTACCAGCTTCTGGCCCGAGAGTTGAGAGAGTCGCTGACACAGCACCCAGATCCTCCGCCAGCCAGGCTTCCACCGCGCCGTCGGTCGCATCCATCGCGCCATTCACGAGAAGCAGCATGGCCGCAATCCGCACGAGCCGCTTGCGCCCGGAGAAGCTACAGGTATGCTGCTGCAACGAGAAAGTAGTGGGAATGCTGTATAGAGGACGAGAGGCTAATGAATGATCAATGATCTATTGCAGCCGATCCAAATCCTAGCAGCCGAGCCGACGGCTTCTTCAAGCATTTCCTGAGCGAGCTGAAGAATCAAGCTCGTGGGAAGCCGAGCGACATTTCCGACAAGCCGCCGACGAAGTGAAGCGATTCTGCGACTTTGCGGTTCGAAACGAAAGTCTTTCTGCGCCATTGCGTCTCTCGGGTTTCAGAGTCTCTGCGAGCGGAGGATGAAACCGAGTTAGACGTCGATATGCCGGCGATCGCCACTCTGCGCAGCGCATGGGTGTCGCCCGTCTCCGAGCCAGAGACATCGATACTAGGTACGCTGTCGGCCGTGCCGCCGTTGAGCGCATACGCTCTTGACGACGCGATGCAGCATTGAGGCACACTGGGCGCTTGGCTTGGCCTACGATCACTTTTCTTCACGAGAGCAGTATCGTACATTCGGCAGCATGCGGTACCGACCTGCGGTGCGCTACGTCTATCAACAATCATACAATAAGGAGAGAAGCCGACGGTTCTACGTAGGGTGATAAGGTGGCGACGCGCCATACCAAGATCGAATCTGAAAAGGCATACGTGGGATCGGGATATTGTTCTACAGCAAGAGACACAGCGCCGTATAGATAGGTTTCATGTCAGCCATGAATACTACCATGAATAGTACACGTCAACCGCTCTTTGTATGTCCACGTAGTATCACAATGTTCAGCCTCGTTAATCCCTGACAATGTGCGTTAGTTGATTTACGTTGGTAGGTCACGGCGTCATGGACATTTGCAAATGAAGCTTCTCGAGCATTCGCATGCCCTGTGGCAATCTGCATGATGTAGCCATATATATGTATTTAGCGCATGGCCTTTCAACAACAAATCCGATATGGTGTAGTGGCTAACATCGCTCGCTCTCATCCTTCGAGTGCCGAGCAGCCCTGGGTTCGATTCCCAGTATCGGAGATCTTTCTTTTTTCCTTCCTCTTCTTGCCTCATTTGTTCCCCCCCCTCCCTCTTCTCCCCCCTTTTGTTTGTTCCTTTTTCTTCTTCTTCTTCTTCTTCTTCTTCTTCTTCTTCTTCTTCTTCTTCTTCTTCTTCTTCTTCTTCTTCTTCTTCTTCTTCTTCTTCTTCTTCTTCCTCTTTTTTTTTTTTTTTTTTTTATTCAGATTGCTCTAGATCAATGAACTCAGAGGTGAGAGAGACAACTCAAGAGCACCCGCGCTTGCCTCAACAAGAGTATGAAGAATCATTCATTGACTGCAGATCTTGACATGCTCAATTATCCTAGAATTGTGCGACCAACAAGTCGCTATCCAGTTTCCTATATTATCATCTCATATACATGAGCCAAATCGTTTGCCTATTCGAGTGTGAATGTCATGTCGCTGAAACTGTTTCCCCCTGCTCATGTGGCAAACTGCCCCCAATCTCCCCAATTAGGCGGGAGGCCGATATCAAGGTTTGCTTCCAGGGCATCTTCCACTGCGTCAAGGTTGAAGTTGGGGTCAATGTGCCCAAACACGTCCTGCCCGGAAATGGCCTCGATGACGGAAAAGTCAAGGACGTTATCATAGCCCATGGTGTGATTCATGGGAGGCGCCTCTCCTGACGGCGTCGGTCCCGCGTCCTGTGGTGTTGAGCTGTCGTGATTCTTGGGCACAGGCTTCGGCTGTACCTCAGCAGGTTGGGGGCTCAAGTCCTTGGCCAGCGTGTTGGCAGCGCGCTCCATTTCCCTCAGGACGCCCTCTCCGAGCCCGGCAACAACTCCGGCGCTCCAGTAATGGTCTCCATAGGTTCGGAGGAGGTCACAATTTCTCTTGAAGGCGCTCATGGCTCGTGCGCGGAACATTGGCAGCCGGCTGTGCCTCATCTTTCGATACTCAACGCTCAAAGCGAGAGATACAGCGTAGGGAATGAATGGAAAGGAGCTCAGGCAGTCTCTTGGTACTGCACATGCGATGCGCTCGGCTGCCAATGAGCGGCGGGCATTGGCAGACGGCGGCGGTAATGTCGAGGCCGCGATTCTTGTTCCTGGCCGAGGCAGTCGGCATGATAGGATGATGACAGCATGGTAGAATGTCTCGATAGTAGCTGGGCGAACTCGTTAGGGGTGCTCTACAATATAACGGGCCTGTAGGTCGGGGAAGCTTACCGATAAGTGATGTTGGGACTTTGAGTGCGTCTGCGTCCACAATCATGGCTTCAAGAACCGGGAGGTCAATGTATGCGACCTTATCGAAGCCAGACACTTGGGCACTCGGACCAGGGCGGTACAATTCCACCACCTTGTCTAGCCACTGTGCCACTGATAGCAAAAGGCGAAAGGCAGGCTCGCGCTTCCTGATACATGCGTCAAGATCGGCTCCTATATCCCTTTCGTGGATCAGACACGGTCGTCCATACATGGCGGCGTTGATCCGGTCGAGCGCCCACACAGCGCAAAAGAGGTTTTCCAAGTCGCTGAAGTTGGGTCCGTCATATCTCAAAAGGTGCAGTCCCAGAGTCTGGATGTGATGGATCGCCCTACCACCAAGCTGGGCCGGCAAGTCGGACTCCTCAGCGCAGGTGGGCTGTGTGTACAGAGACAGCATAGTCAATGCTTGTATATGCACGACCCTGTCGGGGATAATGCTGGTCTCCAGGATAGCACGAACTGATGAAGACAATGTGCTGGAGAATTCGGCGGGCCGTAGCGGGTTGGGGCCCTTGTTGTTCAGACGCAGGAACGGCGTCATCTCTGGATCGGAACCGGCTGCCAGACAAGCAAGTTGCCGTAGGACGATGTTGGCGGGATTGTCCGTGGGCCCGTCGAGGGCGGCTACTGGGATGACGGGAAAGATGGGATGAACCTTTTGCAGAAACACCCTCTTGAGTCGCACATAGTCCGCGTCAGGGGGCAAGCAGGTCAGGCAGTGCTCGCGGACAAAGGGAAGCATGAAGCCGTCCATAACGGGCGGAGGCCGCGATGTGATGAACTGGGACGGCTGACTGGTGGTGGTTGAGGGAAACCAGATGCCCACGTCCCCCTTCTGCGACGAGGCGCGAGTCACGTTGGGGACTGCCGCCTCCATGAACATGCCCTCGGGGTTCAAGTCACCTACAAAGCGCGACGACTGCGGCCGCGCGACAGCATCAGGCGTGCCGTTTGCTGGGGCTCGGCCATTGCCGTAGGCTGATGGGAGAGGACGCCGCAAGGGAGGTGGCGGATTGGTGCTGCTGAGACGGCCTCTGGCTGCCGGCGAGGTGGCGTCTTCCCCAACAAGGGGCCTGGAGCGGGCTGAAGGCGCGAGTGAGGATACTGAAGCTGCAGGTCTTTTTTGCTCAAGGCAGTGTCAGCGCAGTCTTGACAAACTCGCACAGGTCGCGCAGTCAAAGGGGGGGCTGAGTGGCCTCACGAGGACTGAGAAGGTGACGCCCCCAGCGGGCCTTTGTGGTCGTTGAATGAGGCGTCATCAGCCATGGCATCTTCCGCATGGTTGCATTTTCGCTTCAGCGGCAACGGCGACGACGGTCAGCAAACTCCTTATGGCCAGCGGGCGGGAGACTTTGTGAGGCGCATCGCGATACCTTCTTCCGCCTGCACGAGTCACAGGCTTGGTGGACTTGTCTGCGTTTCACGGGCAAACCGCCGCGGGCGGGATCCGACGCGACGAACTTGACTCTGAGTGCGGGCGCGGCCATGGCGACATTGTCGTGCTCTTGGGTCTGTGGTCTGCGAGGCGGCACAGGAGACAGAATCTACATGGACTCGGCACCTGAAGGCGGCGTCATCTTCCTGTAGACTTGAAGAGGCGGTTTGGGTAGGTAAGTAGGTATGTGATGTGATGCCGGGTGTGTAGAGGCAGGTGAAGCAAACGAGGCGATATGCCGTGATGAAAGCGTCTCGATGAGCTTAGGCAGCTGGTGAGATTGGATCGGTGGTAACCCGGAGGAATCTGAACAAATGGGATCCAGCAACCTGGAATCCTTCCAGTCACTTTTCGCCTTGGTGGACGGCGTGCACTCGGTAAGGGAACCTGGAACCTCCACTGGTAACTGGCACTAACCCCAGCCGCCAAACCGTTAGCGGAGGTGGGCGCTATAGACTGGAGCCTTGCCCGCCTAAAGATTGCTGTGCCCACCACCTGAGCGGCGAATATCGATCCAATCTTGAGAGCACATAGTTGATCGCAGAGGATCAGACCGGTACCAATCCCCAGTGAACACTTGCCCGATCATAAAACTTGCCTGTTGATGCTGCTATAAGCTCCATCTCCAACAGTACATCGTTGGGCACCTCCTACAGGTTCTCCAAGTCTCCAATGTATTGATCGGAACAATGTTAACACTTCAACGTTACGGACAATCGAAGGTTCGGATGAGTCACCACGATTCAGTGTTGTTAATGCACCCTCAAGCTTTCATCTCGACCAAGACGTGCAGTTTATGATTACTATGTAGGCAGTGAATAACCCATCAGAGCTGTCCTCTCATTATCGCAATTTGCTATACCAGTACAGAGGTACACACTCCCATGCTTCGGAAACATTGCCCTGAAAGCAGCGACGGTTTCTTCTTCGTGCAAGCACTTGGCGTCTACCTTAGGTCGATTCTAACCTGCAACTTCAAAAGTGCTGCCATCATGTTGCAGATGCTCTCTTAATCTTCATCACTTGTCACGTCCTTTTACAGGCACTCATAAGCTTGACGGCGATGTTGGGTGAGAACAGGACCGTCATCAAGTAAGAGGGGCTCTGCAAAGCACACACCAAGGCCTCCATTCAATATTTGCTACGTCCATCATCACCTCCCTGGGATGAATGTTCCATTACGCCATCATCACATTATTTGATACCGCCGCCAAAACAGCACTGAAAGCTGGTGATCAGTAGCAAGCTACAAGTTACTGTACCACACTCACCATGTCAACACCAAATGGGATGTACACGGGTTCCAGTGACCTCTGTCACAGCTGAAGTTCAGCTAATCTACTTCCTTTCATGGAATATCAAACGCCTATCACGCCCGTTATCTCATGAAAAGGCCACAATCAAGGTCAAGTTGAGGTATGAGGTGTGATTGTGAGCTGTCCATGTGAACAATCCGAGTAGCGATCCATGGCATCAAACCGTTATGATTCCTTTGGGGCTCGCTCTTACATCATTACGTGAAGACAGATGACTATCAAAAGGTCAAGCGAAATCGGTCTCCTGATAGTTGCCGTCAACTATAAAGGTCGTATATCAGATGCACTTTGTCTATATATATGAGCGACCCCCCTACGGCTGAACCCCCCGTTCCATTTGGGAGAAGCACCATCCATTCTGACCCTTTCCCGCCGTCAACCCACCATTCTCGATCATCATGATGCCCCTATTCGACATTGCTTACTTTGTACAGCGAGATAGACAGGCTGCTGCTGCTGCCACCCCTGGTCGCGAGCCTCCTCCGGTTCCACCTCGCGCTCCTCGAACCTCGCAGTCGTTGGAAGACCAACAGCCGTCCACCGCTCGCGAGCAGTACTATCAACTGCATAGAGACCCCGTTCAGCGACCTTGGTACTATCGAAAGCGCATGCTGCCGTTTGCCATTGCCATGACCATCTTCTCGACGCTGCTGAGCTGCGTCATGCTGGCGGTGACACTGACCCGAAAGTCGTTCCTCATGACAAAGGCTCATCCCACAGAGACCATCACACAGTCGGCGCTGACCTTGTCCTCATTTTCAACAACCTTTCCACAAGAGAATCCAAGCTTGATGACTGCGGTGGACAGCTCTTCAGTGCCGCTTCCCACGACGGTGAGTGGACTGCCATCCATGACTACCGATACAACATCTGCGGCTTCGCCTTCTGCAAGTCCAGCTGTTCCGATCCTCTCGTCTTCAGATCTCGCCTCGGTGTATATTGACCGGCGTGATAGTAGGGATAGCTGGGAGATTCTAATATGGCAGGACGGAGCGGGATCTCTGGTTTACATGGAAGGGGATTCTGAGCGAAAGGGCCTTGGACGGATTCGAGATGTGCTTCAAGGCGCTCTGGCGGCTAAAGATGGGACTCCCATGGCCGCCGTGGTGGATGATACCGATAGTGCTCACTTGTTCTATCTTGACGAGAACAATGTGGTTTCCCATATCTTCATGACCTCAGGCGGCAGCTGGAAAGTCGGGGGTCTGTCCACTGGAACCAATCGTATGACTGCACACGGCAAATCGAAGCTCTCGGCGGCGTTCCACCAGGGTGAGCATGAGACCCACGTGGTGGTGCTTTCGTACCAGGATCCAGACGAAAAGTTGCAACTCGCAATGTCAGAGGATGCCAGGAAGGGCGACTGGTATATCGTCGAATTTGACTCCTTCTCAGGACGCCACGGGGTTGGAGATTGGGAGGGGGTTGGCCACGCTATTGCAGGGGATTGGCAGAATAAGAAACAAGAACCTGATGGATCGTTTAACGGGCTCTTGATGGCTGTGGAGAATGAAGGGGAGATTATGCCCTGGGAGTGCTCAGTGGACTTTCATGCTTCGTCAACGAAACAGGTTGAGTGCCATGTACTGGACAAGACTTTTCTTGGTAGGCAATAACCATATGGCCTTGCGTTGAACGTTTCAAGATCTCAAGAGCAGTGTTGACAAGACTTTATGACCTAGATACTAACGGAGAGGGAATATCTCTATCTTCTCGGACAAACCAACTTGGTTGGGTACGAACCGGCCACGGCCAAGGCAAAGCACCGGCGCAGACGCTGCCGTACGAGTATGCGTTCCTATACCTAGACTCACAAGGAAGTATACACGAGAACCGTGTGGGAGTTGACGTCGAAAGGGTTGCGGGAGATGGGTTTCATGGCGATATGGGCTTTGAAAGTCTTGCAACGAATGGGAACAAGACGGTGTATGCGAAATCTGGGAGCAGTGTTGTGGTGTTTCGGCTGGATGATGATGGGTGGCGGTGGAGGCTCGATGGAATTGTCAACACGACCATATCTGAGACTGACTCATCGAGTTGATGATTGCCATGGTCTAAATATATGTCGATGCAATTGTTTGGTTAAAGGTCTAATTTGGGCTGGCCTTGGTTTGTTGTTTAGTGAGGATTTGCGTTCTTGCGCTTGACAACAACAATTGCTGATACTGGCAGTACTGCCATGGAATATGCAGTGCCAGTTTAATCATAACAAGATGCCTGATCAGTTTTGTCTGAGTCCAATCATCATTGTTTGATTCCCGTCACATTTCAATCTATTGTATCCCCCCACATCCAACAACGCGTTGCTCTCCCTTGACAATGAGGGCTGAATGATGGGTATCAGCTCGCTGTATAAAGCACAGGCTAATTGTTCATGACTTGGTTTACTTCGGGCCCTTCACTCGATAGGCACAAATGTATACTGTCTTTAACCACCTGACAAAGGGACCTTTATGTCTGCTTCATGTGAGTCCTAATATTATCCGAAGAGATGAAAGCACTTGGTAGAGACACCTGAATGCTCCTCCGGAGGCAGTGGGGCCGTCACTCCGATGAGCTCGGGCGCTAAGCCCCAGCAGGCAAAAAGTAAACAAAAAAAAAGGTGATGCCCCAAGTCTCAAATTGCAGGGGTTCGTTGTTTGCTGCAAGGGATACACGCAAACTATGTAGTAGTATGCGCGAACACGGGCATGAGGAGGGGAAAATGTCTCTGACGCGGTGTAATGTCATTGTGTGGGATTGTTTGTTTGTGCCGAGAAGGAAAAAAATGCATGTGGGCTGTTTATCATTGCCAGAGTCGACATCAAAACATGCATGCTGGTCCTCCTCCTCATCGGGTATAAGCTGGCATCACCCCCTCACCTGTCCCGATCCAATCACGTACTGCATTGGAAACATCTCCTAAGAGAGAGAGAGAGAGCGAACTCGAGTCCCAAGGAATATTAAATTCAGTGATAATACACTATTTCTTTCCATACGCCGAACCTCGATATGCAAGACTTGGACACCCCCATTGCGTTGCGTCGCAGCCGGCGCGTAAACGCCAAATCGGCATCCCCTCCAGCCATGCCCTCACCACCAATGACGCCTCACAGAAGAAAGAGAGGCTTCTGCTATTCTGATCCCGGCCCTTCCATCTCGAGCGGCCTCACGCCAATGGTACGACGCACATTTCTGGCCGAGACCCCAAAGGGCCGACGGCTCGTCAGCATGACGCCCAGCCCAACTCCTCGATCCAAGAGGCACTCAGACGCGGCGGGCGACCTCAATCTTCATCAGACCATTGACGGCCGCGTTGAGCGTCGGATACGGCGCAATGGCTTCCGGGACATGCTCAACAGGATGCAGAAGGAGAAGCGGCGCACAGAACAGTCGGCTCAGACGCAGGTCGAGAAGCTCAAGGCCGAGGTCAGGGCGCGAGACAGGGAGATTTACAACCTGCAGAATGCGACCGTGATCATGGACACGGAACGGATTTGGGATCTGGAGCAGCAGGTTCGCAGGCTTAAAGGCGAACTTGCGAAGAGGAGCTTGGTCAAAGAGGAAGCTACTACTCAGTATTACAGCTGGGCGGAGCCGTCGATTGAGGTGCTGAGAAATGATGAGATGGACATGACTGAGAACGATACACAGTTTGGCGGCCAGGCTGTTGTGAGGGTCAAGGCGAGCCCGTCAAGAGCAAGGTCGTCCTTTCTGACGCCTCCTCCCACAAGTCCGACGGTGCCTGCATCTCCATGCTACAGGGAAGCCTCCCCGTCGCCGTCCTCTCGCCACCCGCAAATGGGCTTCCAAGAAGAACCGGACCATCAGCATCTGGAAGAAGAGATTGCATCCCTACGGTTCAAAGTACAGCAGCTGACGGCAACTCTGGACTCGTACAAGGCGTTATGTGGACGAATCAGCAACACTCTGTCGAACGGCTCCGTCGAAAGGAAAGCTGCCGCTTCTTCCTTCGAAGCAATAGAGAAGCAGGTCCAGCTGCTGTTCCAGAACTTGTCCGACCGGGCTGCTGAGGCTAGGCGTCTTACGTCTGCCATTGGACAGCTAGGCTTTCCTGGTAATGATGCAAGCGAGATGATTGTGTCGGTTGCAGCTGGATTTCGAGACGCTCGCATCGAGCTTGAGTATCTCACGCCAGACGAAGTGATGCTGCCCTTTACCCGTCGGGGCTCAGAGGTGCTTGACCTGCTATTGACGCGGTTGAGGGCCTTGACGAAGAAGTCGAGGGAAGACGATGACACAATTGACGAGTATCATGAGATTGAACAGTCTCTACGCAAGGAGCTTGGCTCACAGGAGACTGTCATGGACGAGCTCAATCGGAAAATAGCGACGGCATATGGCATGCTGGACGAAAAGGATGGGCGCATCAGGGAGCTGCAAGCTGGTAATGACAGACTTCAGGGTGCTGTTGATGGCTACGTCCATGATATCGCCGAGCTTCGGAGAGTAGTGGAAGGGATGGCGAATGGACAACAGGAGTTGAGATTTGCGCATGCCGCTCAGCAACAGTTGAGTCAAGAGGCGCTCACAGCTCAGCATGCCATCATCGCCAGTCTGGAGGCCAGGATCGAAGAAGAGAGGAACAAGGCCAAGGATGCCATGGATTCGGTAAAGGGAGAGCTGCAACGAGTTCTGCTCCTGAGCCAGAGCTTCCTCCATGCTACTGCTACACCATGAAGTAGACGCAAACAATGTAATAAAAAACAATCAATCTTTCATAACATTTCATCCATCGTATAACATCAAATACCTAACATGAAAGCAACTATATAGATCATCGTCTCGCTATGCGGCTTGCTAACGCTGTGTGTAGTATGAGGGGGCGGGGGAGGGAAAAGGATGTGCTGAACAGGAGCCAAGTGCAGATGCATAGAGTCATTGACGCGTATAAGCTCTTTCGAGAAGGAAAAAGCAAGAGAACCCAAAACCCAAAACTGAAAACAACAACCAAAAAAATATCATGAGACGAACCAAACGAATGCCAATTTCCCCACAAGAACGAATGCCGAGTTTCCAAATGAACGAATGCCGAATTTCCAAACGAGTGCCAGGTTTTTTCCCCTTCTCATCTCATCCACCACCTCGTCATCACCCCCCCCTTGAGGAGCGTCGAAAAGGGGGATAGGGGTGTACTCTCTCTCTCTTCACCTCTCTCTCTTCACCTCTCTCTCTTCATCTCTCTCTCTTCATCTCTCTCTCTTCATCTCTCTCTCTTCATCTCTCTCTCTTCATCTCTCTCTCTTCATCTCTCTCCCTCTCCAAGTCTCTCTCTCTCTCCATCTCTCTCTTCCTTTATTTCGCAAACTTCCAGTTGGGCGTGTAATCCGGATGCAGCTCGAGCCCCAGGACCAGGGCTCGAAATAGCTCAATGGGCATGTAGTTTGCCTTGAGGAACGAGTCGTTAAACTCCTTCTCCGTCATGTGGCCGCCCTCAAGGATCTCGCGGCGCAGCTCAAACAGCTGCAGGGCGCCGAGCATGTAGCCGGCCTGGTAGAGCGGCCCGTAGTCGCCGTTGAAGGAGCGGCGGACCTCGGCCTCGGCGGTGGAGCGCTCGTGGCCGACCCATTCGACGAGCAGGTCGATGCACTCCTGGGGCGTGAAGAGGCCGAGGTGGAACTTGACGGAGAAGACGATGCGGGCGCAGCGGTGCATGCGCCAGAACATGGCGCCGATGCGGTCCTCGGCCGACTCGAAGAAGTCGCCGCGGTCCCAGAAGACGTACTCCCAGTACATGGCCCAGCCCTCGGTGCTGAAGGGCGTGCGGAAGAGCTGGCGGTGGCTGTTGTGCCGCTCGCTCATGAAGAGCTGCAGCCGGTGGCCCGGGATCATCTCGTGGAAGGCCGTCGCGCGCGCAAAGTGGCGGTTGTTGCCGCGCATCACCATCTTCTTGAGCTCGTGCGGCATGTCGGCCGTCGGGTAGGCCACCATGATGAGGGGCCCGCCGAGGAAGAAGGGGGCGACGCGCTGCATGTCGGGGCTCATCATGGTCATGCGCGACGCCTCCTCGGCCAGCGGCGGCACCGTCACCAGGTCGTGCTCCTTGACGAAGGCGGCGCCCTCGCGCACCAGCCGCTTGACGAAGCCCGTCTGCTCGCCGGGCGGCACCGCGTGCTTCTTGACCGAGTCGAGCGCCTTCTTCCAGTTGTCGCCGTAGCCGAGCTCCTCGGACGCGGCCTTCATCTGCAGCTCGCAGTAGTGGAACTGCTCCTTGGCCAGCGTGATGAGCTGCTCGGGCGTGTAGGGGATCATCTCCGCCTCGAGCTCCGCCAGCAGCGCCTCGCGGCCCAGGGGCTCGCCGATGATGTCGCCCGTCTCGCCCTGGTGCATGCCCGCCAGCTTGCTCTGGATGAGCGGGATGAAGTGCGAGAGGGCGTCGTCGGCCGCCTTCCACGGCGCCGTCGCCCACCAGTCGAACATGGGGTCGTACGAGGCGTAGAAGGCGTGGAACTCGTGCAGGTGGCCGCGCAGCTCCGTCACCACCTTGGACGCCCGGAACGCCGCCGTCTTGCTGATCTTGATGCGGTCGTTGTCGATGCCCTCCCTGACCTGGTTGACCAGCCGGGCAATGTCGTCGAGCTGCTGCGCCACCCGCTCGTTGTTCAGGGGGTCCACGTCCCGCCGCGCCTCGCACAGCGCCGTGACGAGCTGGGCAAAGGGGATCAGCCGCTGGATCTCCTTGTTGGCCTCCTTCTGGGCGTACAGCTGGTGCGCCTTGCGCCGCAGGAAGTTGCGCAGCAGCAGGAAGTCGACCTTGTCCGACTGGCTGAGGGCCTCAAAGTCGAGGCTGAAGAGCGCCTTGAGCTCGTCCGAGAAGTAGCGGCGCAGGCGCTCGTGGCGGCCCGGCGACACGGAGATGCTGTAGAAGGTCTCGAGCTCCTCCACGTCGACGCGGATCCGGCGCACGCGGTCTGGCAGCGACTCGGACGACGCCGTCTGCGCCGGCTTGGGCAGCGCCACCCAGAGGTCGTCCATGTTGCCGCCGCTTCCCACGGGGCTCGTCCCGCCGCTGGCGCTCGACAGGCGGCTGCCATTGCTGCCGTTGCTGCCGTTGAGCGACGGCGCCGTCGACCGAGTCGTTGACCGGGTCGTCTCGGCCGTCTCGATCTGGCTCGTGTCACTCATTGCGGGATCTCTCTGGTCTGATGGCTCTTGATCGGGATACTAGTAGATATTACACCAAGGTCAACAGAATCAAGACCAAGGCGGAACTAGTAGACAAAACACAAAAAACAAAACAAGGACAAAACAGCACGACAATGGATCCAAAGGGGGGCGCGGGCAGCTCCGAATCGTTGCTGTAAAGCTCCGCGCTAGGGAGTTGAGCTGCGTTTATACGGTGAGAGGGGGGGAGGAGAGAAGCTGTTTTTTTCCGCCATTGCATGGGGGAGGGGTGAGAGAAGCTCCAGTCCTTGCCTTGCCATTGTCCCGTCGATACGCGCGACTTGTTTCTAGCTCGTCTGGGTTTTCCTGCTCCTCATTGACGTGTCCGTGGTTATGCTCGATGGGGACAGACGTTATGTCGACGCTGCATAAAATAGTGTACGTGTAGCTTCAATGCTCGCCTCCGCAATGCTCCGGGCACGTGTGGCTCTGTCCTGGTCTGTCCTGTCCAGCCGACAGCGGCCTTGTCGACAACCATGTCCGAACATGCAGGAATCACCTGTTGGGCCAGATGGAGGTGAGAGAGTTGAGAGTGAGTCTTGGGATATAGTATCTATATAGTCTAGGAGAAACACGAAACCAGCAACCGGGAAATAAATTGCGCTGACCACATGGCAACCCTCTTTTCAAGCAAACAAAAGCCCGCCCTTTTTGCTCAGGCCAATTACCGACCAAGCCACAGACAGAAAAGGCGCTCTTATTTCTCCCTCGCAGTCCGGGAACTGCCTATTACGGCTTACAAACGGCTCCTCCGAAAGCCGGTGCCGACGCCTTATCGCGGGCTTGCTGTAATATTATTAAGTTGATAATGCTTCGGCGATATAACTCAGTCTGACGGGTTGGAAGTCGAAAAGCTTCAAAAGTTTTGCGACAACATAGAATATTTGTTTGACGAGCCTAAAGCGTAGAGAGAAGAGCGTCTTTGTCGAAAGGAATCATGGCTTCAACTCCCTTTCGCTCGATTCTGCGGCGGCAGCTCCAGCTACTGCATCGCCCGCAATCTCCGTTTCGCTCCCAGTCATCATTACCACCACCTTCACAGAGATCATCGCAAAAGTCAGTCAAAACATCGACAGAAACATCGGCAAACAGTCCCCCCTCTGTCGTCTCAGCACCAGGCCAAAATGCAGTCGCGCCGCCGCTCCCGTTATGGCAGCGTCTAGGCCCCGTCACCCGCCTGGCTCAAGCATACGGAAACTCCCAGAAGAAGAGGCCGTATGTGACGCAGACCATCAGCTCCATCTTCATCTTCTTCAGCGCCGACCTCTTGGCCCAGAGCATGAGTGACGACGACTACGATCCTGTGAGGACGGCGCGGAATGTCTTTATCGGGGCAGGCACTGCCATTCCGGCATATCAATGGTGAGAAGACGCTGCCTGCGTATTCGCAACCTCTATCCACGGTTCCTTACTTAACGGCCCCTATAGGTTCAAGTTCCTTGCTACACGCTTCAACTACAAGTCCCGTGTGCTGTCGCTGGGCGTCAAAATCGTCCTGAACCAGCTCCTCTTCGCAACCTACATGAATGTCTACTTCTTCAGCATGCAGGCCCTGCTCTCCGGCGACGGCATCAGCGGCGCTGTTCAGCGAGTGAGAGACACTCTGCTCACCAGCTGGATCAACTCCTGCAAGATCTGGCCCATCGTCATGGCTTTCAATCTCTCCTATGTGCCGCTGGAGTACCGAGCGCTTTTTGCCGGCATCATCAACCTTGGATGGCAGGCTTATCTGAGTCTCCTGAACAGGTGGGCTGAGGTTCGCGAGGCTGAAGCCGCCGAGACGGCAGCTGAAGCTGTGGCGCTGGCTTAGACTGCGCGAGGGGGATGCCGATCTGGTATTGTCTCGATTGTGAACTTGGATAGACGGCGGCTGTGGCTGACATGGGTGGATAAGTCTTGGAGCTCAACGCCACGCATTGCTTTTTGGATTAGATATAGTTAGATTTTCTTCTGCATCAAAATCATTGGCAGTATCACAATGGAAAACACTGTAAATTTTATATGTACGCAAGCCATTTACATCTACCAGCCTTGTGCCTTGTGAAGATGTACTCAAGGCCTTGTGAATATGTACACACAGAAACAGACAAACGAATACAATCCACCAAACACGCCTCCCCTCTTATGCCTTTGCAAGCTTAACATAGCAATCTTCCGGCAGATTTACCAAGATCTCAATGAGTTCCGGCGTATTCAGCTCCTCGTGCAGCGGCTGGAACTCAAAGTTCCACATCAACAAGGTCATTACCGTCCGTAGCTTCATATACGCCAGCCTCTTCCCGAAGCATTGTCTGGGTCCAGCTGAGAAAGCCAGAGTAGGCCCGGCATACGGGTCAAAGACTTCTTCATCTCCACCATCTGCATTCTTGACCTGCTTGAGCCATCGCTCCGGCTTGAACTCAGACACATCGTCTCCCCAATAGGGGACCTGGTCTTTGCACTCTTGCGACTCCGGCGAACGATCCGATTCGCGGACATGTAAGGCCGGTTCGGTGACGGACGGGCCGGCGAGCGCCAGCAGGACATCTGTGCCTTTTGGGATGTGGTAACCCAGGATTTGGGTGTCGCATGTGCTTGTTCGGACAATGAGAGCCGCCACGGCGGCGCAACGAAGTGTTTCTTCTATGACGGCGTCCAAGTAAGGGACCGGCGAGTCGCAAATCTCTTTCATTGTAGGGAGCCGAGAGTCTCGGTAAGCTTCGAAGTGAGCCTGTCGTAGGGCATCTCGGAGTCGAGCTTGAACGGGCTGATGGGCTGCCATGTACTTTACCCACCATGATAGGGTGGCGGCTGAGGTATCGTGGCCGGCAACAAGATATCCGAGGATCTAGTCAGGACTGAATTAGCATCTTTTCTCTCTTTCTCTCTCTCTATCTTCAGGAAGATTGATATGTCGGCAACTTACCTCATCTCGAATGGCAGGGGAGTAGTAATCCGGCAGTCGGTCGGCTTTCTTAGCAGCATTCATCTCTTGCAACAAGAGCTGATCAAGCGCACTTTCGCATCCGTCGGAACCAGATTGTAAAAGTCTCTGCAGACTCTTGTCTATCTGGCCCATGATCAACGTCTTCCTGTTCCAATGAGCTCGTGCGTGTTCGGGAGTGAGCAGCGCGAGGAACTGCGAAATGCCGGGAAACGGGCTGCTCTGGGCTATCGAGACCATTTTGGGACCGTCAAAGAGGGCATCCAGCTCAGGGATCGTCGGGGGAATTGGGAAATCTGCTGGGGCTTCTTCGTGTTCAGTAGGAATGGTCGGATAGGTGGACTGCACATGAGAAATTGCCTGCTGAAGGGCGGACTTTGCATTCTCCATGCCAAAGGCGGCGACGCATATCATGTCGAGAGTTGCCGAGTAGAGGTCTTCGGTAGCGAGGAATGGCCTTCCGTGGGCTTTTGATGACTTCAACTTCCATAGAGTAACTAGTGCAAGAGCCTTGTCGTAGATTCGAGGCGCTGATACCTGGCATGCCTGTTAGTCCACATTCTATACCCGAGCTCTGATTGCAACGAGACGAACATTGTTGAGAAACTTTGGTGTCATGAGGTCGCGAATCAGCTTCTTGTTGGACTTGAACCGCGGATCCGAAGTTTCCATCGTAAAGTGAAAGGCCGGGGCCACGAAGCCGATGCATTCCTTGGTCCTGGTCCCTCTGTCAAATTCCCTGGCTCGACGGGCGAGAATGTCGACGACTTCGCGATAATCGGACACGACGACGGTTGGAGTGCGGAAAGGAAAGATGAAGATTTGGGATAACGGGGCTCCATGCTCCCGAGGCTGAGCCCATGCCCACCGTCGACGGTATCGCGCCTCTGCCAACAAGGGTATATCTCCCCATATCGATTTCGCTGACTCTTGGTTGTATGGGATTCCGGGTATGGGCTTGGGAAGAGCGGCCAGGTAGAGGCTGTAGGTGATGTATATTACAATTCCAAGCCCCAGCCCGAGAGCAAGGAGAGGGCTGATTTCGAAGTCGAGCCCGGGCAACTTCATCGTGAAGTCCGTAACCAATGGTTTTTAGATAGTTTGACAATGGGAAACGACGAGACACAACGGCCGAGTTTGAATAACTGTTATGTAGAACGAGCCATAAGATCTGTAACGGCCTCGATTCAATCACAGAGTTGGCGGAACCGTGCAGTTCAAAACAACGGGCAGCAAGACGACGCATGGGCAGCTAGTAGTTTATTTATAAATCTTCACAGACTATTTAAACAATACATACATGAGCTGTCGAGCGCCTCTTTACCCCCTCCTATTGTCTTTCATGTTGTTGGTCGACGTGAGCGTTGGTCAAGCCCATAAGGTAGCCTCGACACAGCTCCGGCGCCTCCTCCGGTCCACATCGATTAGCACCAGACGGCTCTTTAGCCTCATTCAGAGATGGGAAGCCACACTTTGACGAGCTGAATCCTGGTCGAACATACAATCATGTGTATGTGTGTACCTTGGGTCTGTGACATTCACACCTCGGGCTTCTTTCTGTTCAACCTTGATCACCGGTTGTCTACTGCATTGGGCCCGAGGCGAAGGAGTTGTCACAGTGAACATGAGAACATTGGAAGGGCTCGGAGCAAGAAGGCACATGTCCTAAATCAGAGCGCGTATGAACAGCTTAAGGGGTGCAAGTCGCCAAGTTGGTTGTCTGAAATAACCTCACATGGGGGTTCTAACGAACCGTATCACTTGCATCCGTCATTCTGGATGTCTGCCGACAAACGACACGGCCCTTTCACGACGAGCGAAGCAGCGAATCAGTGTTGAGGATAAACGTAGTTGGACGTTGACGACAAGGTCAGGGAGTCACAGCACATACTGGTGATATTGAAGGCACTACTAGGTAGTATCATATACCGCGGATACCACCCCAGGGCTCATGCACACATCCTGCATGCAAGTGCTCCGGCTCTGAATTCGGGTGCTACTCTGTGTTGGTTGTCTCTCACTCACGGCTAGAAGCTCATATCGTCTGCCGCCGCAGCTCCGACCAATACGGCGACCCCTGAGGCCTACTACCAGTGTTTTGCCGTTTAAAAGACGGAGCAACGGGGGCTCGGCTTGCTCCGATTCGTTCGGGGCGTGAGAATCTGTGTGTGCATCACTCCTAGGCGCCGTGAACTCTTTGCTCTTGTTGTGCTGATGCTGCATCCCGCGGCTTCGGCATTTTTACATTTATTAAATGAAGGAGACTGGAGTAGTTGGTTTTCTGCAAGCATCTCTTCATGTTGGCTGTGAGTCCTTCTTTGAGCATCAAGGCCCTCGTTAGCCAGTACACGTCTAATTGTATATGGTCATGATGCTTCACAAACGGGGTTGGTGATATCGAATGCGCAAGTACATTTAGCTACCTACTCTACATCAATGTGGCATTCTTGAAGAGATAGGTTAGAGGAGTGGGCTACATACCTTATGATGAGAGGGCAGCGGAAGAAGGGGAAAAGGTGTCTTTTTCCATCATCTGACGGGATATGGCCACATTAACATGCAGGTGACGCTCTGGTGCTCGCGTTCCTCTTTGGTCACATATCTGCGGAGGAAATGCAGCGGCCTCAAGATTGATGCTACCCAACATGCATGAGTTGAAGTCGCCCATCTCCACTGCCCTGCGGCCGATGACTATCGCCGACAGATCTCGGCCAGAGCAGCTTGATATGGCGAAGTTGTGCCATAATCAGCTGTCACGCGTCCCAGAGTAGCAATGATTACGACTGGATGGGGATTGTGAATTATCTCCAAGCCTGTGATGGCATGTTGATGGTGATGGAGTGCTGCTTGGCGCAACTGTTGGTGAGCTGCTAGAACCACCTTATGTAGGTACGCAGGCATCAACTACGAGAGAGGACATCACGATCCAGACGTCATTGACTGAATCCCACAATTCTGTAACAAATATCTCGATTCTACCGAGACTGGATTAGTATCGAAACTTTCATTATGAGCTTGAATTTGTGAACAATATCTAGGTATGGAGTCGTCTCGCCCACATCTCGTTGCAGGTCCTGAAGAAGATCAAAGCGTAAGCACAGATACGTCTGGCAAAGTTTCAAATTGCTCGGCAGACACTTTCGAGGCCTGAGCTCTGCTTAAAGATTGTCTCAGAGCCACACTGATACAGAGAATTAAAACTCTGGTAGCCAAATACTGTTGTATTATGCGCATACCTAAGCTGAGCAGATACCATCAAGGTATAATCAACCGATGCTGCATCTGTAAATGTCTCAGCAAAATTTCTAGGCAATTGCTGACCATGTCATCCCATGGGCTATATATATACCTGATGAATAGCCCGCAAGGTAGTTCATCACGGCATCTGCTACATCACTTATGGCATCTTGGACCTGATTTGCCATCACTCGACGGTGACGCCTTAATGTTACTGCGTTTTATTTGTGCAGCAGGTAGAAGCTCGTTGCGGATCAGATAAGGAATGATCTTGGCATTTTAATCAGGAATGCGATTTGAGATGAGTTCTGCTGACTCTCCGCCTGACAGTCAAAGTCTATACCCATGAATCTATGATTCAAAGATCCAGTGGAATGCAGTCCAGGATGCATTTTGAGGGCAGCTGTTCGTGGCATCTACCTGGAGCGATCTGCTGCAGCACCGCATGCCGGCTGATGCTGTAAACTGGACGCCCGATGTCGCTACGCCAGAGCCCTGTCAGCAGCGCTCAGCGCCTAAAGCGGCCGAGATACAGCGATAAGATGCCAGCACAGGGCAGGCACGGGATCAACAAGACCCGACGTCATCAGACTCCCTTGAGCTGACAAACATCTGAGCTTCAACCTCAACTTGTTTCTTTGAACGCGAACAGCTTCGCCGCAGCTTGGCGATCTGGAAATCTCAAAGGCTTCTGCCACACACTCAAGAGCGACTCTCGCAACAGAAAGCCCGACATCACAGATGAGCTGGTCTCGCCCTCGCCGGCCATGCTCTCCAAGCTCTTCTCGACAGCGGTCAAGCTCGCCCTGCCGGCATCGCAACCGTCGGCTTCCGCCTCGTCCTATCCCTACCGACCCTTGAGCCAGGATGACGACGACGAGGTCCCCAACGATGGCGAGAGGCCAGACGAGCCCTCCCATGTATCTGATGCGCACTCCAAGGTCCATCGAGATGCCGCGGCCATGATGCTCATCAAGCTCGGCCGCTCGCCAGACGAAGTCATCACCGTGTCTCCCGCCGACGACGCCCGCATCCTCCGCCGTATCGACCTCGCCCTGCTTCCGCTCATGCTTTCCGTATACTTCTTGCAGGCTCTCGACAAAGCTACGCTGTCGTATGCCTCCATCTTCGGCCTCATCGACGACACGGATCTGGTGGGCGACGAGTTCTCGTGGCTGGGGAGCATTGTTTACCTCGCCCAGCTCCTCATGCAGCTGCCCTTGGCGTGGGCGTTGGTCAAGCTGCCAATTGGTAAATTCACAAGTGCCATGGTCTTTGCTTGGGGAATAACCTTGACGTGCATGACATGGGCGCACAACTTTGGGCAGCTCATGACAGCTCGTTTCTTCCTGGGTGCCTTTGAAGCTTGCGTGGGGCCGGCCTTTGTTGCCATAACGCAGATGTGGTGGAGACGCAGGCATGTTGTTATCGCCAGGCCACTCAGACCAGATTCTGGAGAATACTAACACGTTTTGTGCCGGATAGGGAACAAACGCTGAGGATCGGGTCGTGGTATTGTATGAACGGTCTGACCTGGGTGGTGAGTTGCTCCTGACTTTTCAAATTATTGTACATGTTACTGACCGATATGTAGTTTGGAAGCCTCATCACATATGGGCTTGCAAGCATAGATTCACATCTCAAGCCTTACCAGGTTAGTATGGCACATGTTGGCCATCACCTGGAGTATCTATGCTGACAATGGTCGAAGATCATCTTTCTCTTCTTTGGCGTTGTCACGGTCGCAGTATCCGGAGCCATGTTCTTCTGGATGCCAGACTCGCCTACTGAGGCCAAGTTTCTCAGCGATGAAGACAAAGTTCTCGCTATAGAGCGCCTTCGCAACAATCAGATGGGAGTCATGTCACGAGAATGGAGATACGCCCACTTCTTTGAAGCTCTGCGGGATCTAAAGACCTGGCTGTGGGTTATCATGATCTTTTGCATATCAGTTCCTTCTAACGGCATCTCAACGTTTGGCCCGCTCATCATCAAATCTTTTGTCACGGACCCCTACAAAACCATCTTATTTAACGTTCCTGTTGGGTTGTCGCACGTCTTGGCTGTTTCGTTGAGCGCGTATGCCTCAATGAAGTGGAAGGTCAAGGGGCCAGTCATTGCTCTTCTGTGTATCCCCCCAATTGTTGGATTTTCTATCATGCTGCACTTTCCGCATGATACTGATCATAGAGCCATTTTGCTTGCCGGATACTTTTGTCTTTCCACATTTACCGGCATCAGTAAGTTACATTTCCACTCGGTTAAGAGGTCTTCATGAACTGACATGAATAGCGCCACTTATATACTCTTGGTCCGCGCAAAATACAGCTGGAGATACGAAACGGAAATGTACGTCAGCAATGGTATTCATAGGATCGTCCGCTGGCAACATCTTCGGGCCCTTGCTCTTCACGCCTGACGAAGCCCCGGCCTATTCACGGGGCTTACGGGCGAACATTGTATTTTTCGCATTGGTCCTTCTACTCGTCGGCATCACATCGCTTTATCTGAAGCATCTCAATTCCGACCACGCCAAGCGAAGAGTGGCTCTAGGAAAGAGTGCGATTGTTCTGGATATGAGTCTGGAGACGGCAGAAGAGGTAGAGCGCATGGAGGCCTTGGAGAGAGCAATGCGCGAGGGAACCCAGCGACTCTCCCAAGACAATGGAGATACCCGACTCGGAGGAGACGAGGAGAATGGTGTGCAACCTGACGATGTCAGAGGCCGAAAAGCCTTTGCCGACATTACTGACCTCGAGAACGAGGACTTTGTTTTTGTGTTTTGATTTGACCATGGCGCATTTGGTAGCCGTTGGAGCGATGATGTATACGCCGTTTTGTGTGCTTTTCTACAACTCTAGTCTCCTGACTAGATGGTCGCGGAATTGATGGATAGACGCTTGACGCCCGTGCTACAGGCGGAAAGCAACTCGCATGGAAGGAAATAATATTTGTTACCCTCTTTCCTGTTATTTCGGAGGGGCCTCCAATACAATGCCTCAACGACGCGCCCAGATACCCCTGTGGCTGAGTGTCGTGGCCGCGATTGATTGGACCAGCCTCGGCCAACAAAAAGGTTTGCTGTGCTCGGAGCCTGATTCTGGCCTTCGAGCCTGATATGTGTGTTCAATGTCTTAATTGTCGCAGCATCCCAGAATTGGGCGTGCGCCTGGAGGACCAAACTCGAGTTATTATTCATTGCTACGAGCAGTTCTCGACATCATGGACAGTTATGATGTCGTTTGCGATGAGAATGATACGATACGGGGACTAGGAGCGACGGTCCTTGAAGAGAAGGATGAGAAGTATGAGAACTCTGGCGATACTCGCGACTGCCCTGCAGCTCAAAACAAAAGAAAGCGGTTTAGTCTTGGCGATATCGAAACATTGGCAGCTCCGAAGAAGAGACTGCAGCCAGACTCTGAGGACGCTCACACCGCAACTGGTAGCACTTCGAAGCAAAAGCTGGCTTCTACAGATTACACTGTTGGCTGGATCTGTGCCCTGAGCACCGAGTACGTTGCTGCGCAAGTCTTTCTTGATGAAAGGCATGAGGGACCAGATTACGTTGCCCCCAACGACAACAATGATTACACATTGGGCAAGGTTGGGAGCCATAAAGTTGTAATTGCTGTCTTGCCTCACGGAGAGTACGGCATATCAAGTGCCACGGGCGTTGCAAAGGACATGCTTCACAGCTTTCCCAACATCAAGGTTGGCCTGATGGTTGGCATTGGAGGCGGCGCCCCAAGCCGGAAGCACGATATACGACTCGGCGACGTCGTGGTTAGTGCACCTCGCAATGGTTCTGGCGGTGTTTTCCAATACGACTTCGGCAAGGCGATTCAGAGCGGATCGTTCTACACAACGGGCTTCCTAAACCAACCTCCACCGCTTCTTCGAGCTGCAGTCAACGGGCTTGAGGCTCACTATGAGATCAACGGCCATCAGCTGGAGGAGGCCATTTGCGACATCTTCGAGAAAAAGCCGAGGCTACAACGCAAGTATCAGCGGCCGCTGGCAACCACTGATAGGCTGTACTTGTCGTCAGTATTGCATCCTTCAGACACCGATGTAACCTGCGCAGACTGCTGTGGAAACGACTCCTCGAACTTGATACTGAGGCCTGAACGGACCCAAGAGGACGATAATCCGAGGATTCATTATGGCTTGATTGCCTCGGCGAATCAGGTGATGAAGGATGCCCTCACCCGCGACAAACTCGTCAAGGAGAAAGACGTCCTATGCTTTGAGATGGAGGCAGCTGGGTTGATGAACCAGTTCCCATGTTTAGTCATTCGTGGCATCTGCGATTATTCGGACTCTCACAAGAGCAAAGAATGGCAAGGCTATGCAGCAATGACGGCGGCAGCATACGCAAAGGACCTTTTATGCAGGATCCCTCTCCACAAGGTTGAGGCTGAACAGCGGATCAAGGACGTTCTCTCGGGTGAGTTCAATGATTCTTGGTAAATGAACCATTCGCTAATTGCTTCAAGCCGTGACAGGCGTCCAAAAGGGAGTCGATAGACTTCTCTGTGTTCAACAGGCTGAAAATCATCAGAACGTCTTGAACTGGCTCACACCAGTCGACTATGCTCCTCAGCAGAGAGACTACATCAGTGTACGACAACCAAAGACGGGCAATTGGTTTCTGAGTTCGGAAGAGTTCCAAGCATGGATCAATTCTGATAAGCATACACTCTTCTGCCCAGGCGGGCCGGGTGCAGGGAAGACAATTATGACAGCGGCGGTCATCGATCAGCTACATACAACGTACAAAGAGGATGACAAGATAGGTATTGCATATATCTATTGCGATTACCGAAGACATTTCGATCAGAAAGCAGATGACTTGCTTGCAAATCTGATTAAACAGTTGGCTCAAACGCAAGCGGCGATGCCGGAATGCATCCAAAGTATCTATGATCAACTCAGGAATCAGCCAAGACGGCCGTCTCTTGACGAGCTGTCGAAACTTCTGAGCTCGACCAGCCTGATCTATGCCAAGGTTTTTATTGTCGTTGACGCACTGGATGAGTGTCAGCTTGCAGGTGGTTGCCTGAAAGCTTTTCTGTCTGCGTTATTCAAGTTCCAGGCGAGTACAAACGAAAACATCTTTGCAACGACACGGTTTATCCCAGAGATCATGAAGGAGTTCAGGCAGAGCTCGTCTTTGGAGATTCGTGCCAAAGATGAGGATGTGCAAGAATACTTGGCTGGCAACATGGTACGGTTTCGGTCGTTTGTTTTGACCAATCTTGAGTTACAAAAGGATATCAAAGATACGATAATCAAAGCCGCAGATGGAATGCAAGTTTTTCCGAATACTACCTCAAGACACACAAAGACTAATACTATTAGGTTTCTAATCGTGCGACTGCACGTTGATTCGTTGACCGAACTTCCCACAGTAGGGCACGTCAAGAGAGCGCTGCGAGACTTGCCTAATACCCTCGGCGAGACGTATGACCAAGCAATGGCGAGGATCGAGGCCCAGGGAGAGGCCCTACGCATCTTGGCCAAGAAGGTCTTGTCATGGCTCGTTCATGCAAAAAGGGTGCTCTCCGTAACCGAGCTCCAGTGTGCCGTTGCGATTGAACCAGGAACATCTGAACTCGATGGAGAGTTCATCCCTGACAAGGAGATTTTGGGTTCCGTCTGTGCTGGTCTGGTCACCTTCGATACCGAGAGCCGCGACATACGATTGGCGCATTACACCATCAAAGAGTACTTTGACAAGGAAGGGAGGCATTGGTTCCAGCATGCGGAGACCGATATCGCAAGAGCGTGCTTGACCTATCTCTCATTTGACGAAACCAAGCCGTTGAGCCATTTCTATAGGTACGCCGCAAGTAATTGGGCAAATCACGCCCGCGGGGCCCCAGAGAGGCATCTGATGCCGCTCATCTTGGACTACCTATGCCGCGACGCAAAGGGGTCCTCGCCAGACAGAGCGATGCCAATCCATCGTTCGGGCATTCATGTTGCAGTATCTTTCAAACTCGAAAACACGACCCTGGCCCTGATTGAAATGGGACATGATGTCAACAGCCCTGATTTCACAGGCAGTACACCGCTCCTGAAGGCGGTCGAGTCGGGCTGTACGCCTATGGTTCAGCTACTGCTCAGGGCCGGTGCTGATGTTGATTATTGGGACGAGGCGCTCGACCATACACCGCTCACGTACGCCAGCGATGCGGGAGATGAAAGCATTGTCAGGTTGTTGTTAGAGCATGGTGCCGATGTTGATTATGCCCCTCGCGGCGAAGATTGGTCCGCTCTTTCATGGGCATTTCGGGCAGCGCACTTCGGCATCGCCAAGCTTCTATTAGAAGGGGGCGCCAATCCTAATGTCTATGCCGGCTTCAATTTCAAGGAAGTTCCCAGAGACGCTGAGCTTCTTCTGAAAGTGCGAGAGGTGGCTGGCTCTGCTACGAATCCTTTTGGATCCTCGTATTCGAGCCAAACTACTACGGCAATCTCGAGGGATTGCCGCAAGTCTCCCCTTTTTGAAGCAGTCAGTCGTGGGCTTGAAAGCCTGGTCAAGTTGCTGTTAGAGAAGGGCGCCGATGTTGAAGGCAAACCTTCTTCCAATAACTTAACTCCACTCTGCTTGGCAATGAGAAGGTCAAGCGAGGGTATGATGAAGCTGCTGCTGGAGTATGGTGCGGATACTAAACCTCTTATTAAACTCATAGAGAGGCGGCGAGAAGCCTTGGATATGATGCTTGGAAACGAAAAAATTGTGAGGCTGCTGCTAGAAAACGGCGTTGCTGCTGATTTGATGATACTAGGGAAGCCCTTGCTATCTTGGGCTTTTCAGCTGGGGAAACAAGGTGCAGCCAACATATTGCAGGAATATGGCGCCCAGCTACCTGGCGACTGGCAACATCAGTATCTACTACCTAGATACTAGGCGGGCTGGGGTTTCCATCACAGATTTGGCAAGAGGTAGGCGCTGGCAAGAACTTCAGTGGTAATTTCCTCGGCAGATAAGACTTACCAAAAGCCCAAAACTATTATAGGACCTCTTACGAGCGTCGCTCTCTTCCCAGATCTCTTACCAAAAACACCCGTGAGGCCGCTAGCTGAGTATCTAGATAGATGGAGAACCAGGCGTTGTTACCTTGATCACAAATTGACGTGAAGCCAGGCAATGCATCAGCTCGGGATATTCCACACCCAGCGGCTTCCTGATACCTTTCATCCTGCCTTCATAAGTAATATCAGCATCTCAGCAATAGCATGCATAAAAAGCAGCGCCAGCTCATGGCAAACCGCATGCGCCACGACGGTGACAAACGCCAAGAGCTTGGAACGCTGGGATGTATTGGTCCCAAATCACCATCTGATATTCGTCAGTCAAGGCCTGTGGGCTGAGTATGTAGATGAGCTGTCGCATGAGGCGGTGCTGGCCAGTAACAGCGCATAGGTACAAAGTGGAGGCTGGGGGGGCGAATCACGACAGCATTGGTTGAGGCCGCCGTTGAGCTGATGAAACGAATGGCTACAGGGAACGTCTGATTACGCATGTGCCGAATCAAACAAGGAAAAGGCAAACAAGGCATCAATGCCTATGTAATAGGTAGCTGACTCTCTCTCTTGCTCAAGTATAAAACAACAAGCAAGGACTACTTTCGCAGACCAGCAAACTCACAGCTTCCTCACGTGCAAGACGGCTCCTGCAGGGTATCAGCAGGCATTTCGTCATACTAGAACCATTACTACCATCCCGAGATACCTCGCTCTTTTCGCAGGTCTGGTCCTCATCTTATCACTCATTCCAGTCATTGATTTTTCTTCATCCCAAATCACCATGGCTAGCGACGGGTACCGCTCAGTTGCCTATTTTGTCAACTGGTAAGTGGTACTATTCATGGGCATCGAGTCTGGACGTGTAACATTGAACACACCTGCATCCCCGCATTCTACAGCTACACACCGGCTAACACGGGCTTGTCCAACATCAAGGGCCATCTATGCCAGAAAACACAGGCCGCAGGATCTTCCCGTTGAGAAGTTGACGCACGTCCTCTATGCATTTGCCAATGTCCGCCAAGATACCGGTGAAGTGTATGTCCCTTCAGTCTTGTCTACTCCCCCTTTCCCCTCTCTCGTGATAATGGTGCGCTAAAAGCTGCTCAAGACACATGACAGATGGCTGGGCAGACACGGATATTCACTGGGAGGGCGACTCGTGGAATGACACGGGCAACAACATGTACGGATGCCTCAAGCAGCTGAACCTCCTCAAGAAGCGCAACCGCAACCTCAAGGTTCTGCTCTCCATCGGCGGCTGGACCTACAGCGGCAACTTCAAGGGCCCGGCCAGTACTCAGCAGGGCCGTGAGACGTTTGCCAAATCCAGTCTCGAGCTGCTTAAGAATATGGGCTTTGATGGACTCGATATCGACTGGGAATACCCTCAGAATGCAGACGAGGCCAGAAACTTCGTCGAGCTGCTCGCCACCGTCCGCAGAGAGCTGGATGCCTACTCAGCCACGCTGCCCAACTACAGCCACTTTGAGCTGACTGTTGCTTGTCCGGCGGGACCTACGCACTTCCAGAAACTCGATGTTGCCGGCATGGATCAGTATCTTGATTTCTGGAACCTGATGGCGTACGACTATGCGGGATCATGGGACCAGACGAGTGGCCACCAGGCGAATCTCCATCCCTCTTACGATAACCCTGCGTCTACGCCGTTCTCTACCGACGCAGCCATTGACTACTACACCAGGAGCGGAGTGGCTCCCAGCAAGATTGTGCTCGGCATGCCCATCTACGGCCGCGCTTTCGAAAATACGGATGGCCCGGGCAAGCCGTACAGTGGTATTGGCGAGGGATCGTGGGAGAATGGCATCTTCGACTACAAGGTGCTCCCTCTTCCGGGCTCTCAAGAGTTCTGGGATGAAGCCATCGGTGCAAGCTACTGCTACAACCCACAGACTAGGAAGCTTGTCTCATACGACACTCCCTATGCCGCAAGAGCCAAGGCTCGATATGTCAAGGAATGGGGTCTCGGAGGCGGCATGTGGTGGGAGAGCAGCGCGGACAAGGAGGGCCATGAGAGCTTGATTGGCATTGTCGTCAATGAATTTGGAGGCCCAGGCGGATTGCAGAGGAAGGAGAACTGCGTCGACTATCCGCAGTCCAAGTATGATAACCTGAGGAACGGGTTTCCGAACAATTGAGGCGGATCAAGGACGCTTGAGCCGCTGCTATTGAGATAGTATGACAGATATTCTGACGAGCACATGAATCTACATAGATGGAAAGCGAAGGATATTGAAAAGAACAAAAAGAAAAAGATTGACTTGAGCATTGATAGGCGCCTCTTCTCACCTTGTCATGACCATCGATTTGGTAGTTCTCAAAATGCCCTCAAGCGAGTTTGGGGGTACAACTGCAGAGTACCTGCAGAATTGCCCCGCTTTCAATTCACGTGATCTCTCCCACGGAGAAAAACCCAGCCGATTGTACGATCTGATTGGCTCAATCGCTCAAGCTCAAGAGCTACCAGAAAATTTCGTCGACTTTTTGGAGAAAAAAAAAAAGTTGCATGCGAGGAATCTCGAAAACATCACCCAGAGAGCGAAGAAGCGCCGCCCCCCAATTGCCGTCACCGCGCCGCTCCTCCACGTCAATCCAACCGATCTACGGCGTCGCCTGGGACGAGATTATAAAATGGCGCACGTCGACTACGTCCTGTTCGAGGCCGCCCTGGGCTATGCCCTCTTCAACGTTGTGCACCAGGCCGATGCCGTGGGCGCCAAGTTGAAGGAGGTCCAGGCCGCCATCAACGAGCTGCCCAAGTTCAGCAAGATGGTCAACCTTGTCAACTTTACTCCCTTCAGGTAATTGCGTTCTGTTTTCCTCCTCTAGTTGGGACTGTGGTTCTGGTGGTAGAGACGAGGCGAGGCGAGGCGAGTGGAGGCTGACAATGTTTGGTGGGCAGTGGTCACATCGAGGCTCTCGAGAACGTCAACCTCATCTCCGAGGGTATTGTCTCCGACCAGCTCAAGTCCGTTCTTGAGCTCAACCTCCCGCAGACCAGCGGCAAGAAGAGCAAGATCACGCTTGGTGTGGCCGAGAGAAACCTTGGCAGCGCCATCAAGGCCCAGTTCCCCGGCCTCTCCATCGAGACCATTGAGACCTCCGCGGTTGTTGCCGAGCTCATCCGTGGCATCCGTCTGCACGCCGAGAAGCTGCTCAAGGGCCTCCAGACCGGCGACCTGAGCAAGGCCTCGCTGGGTCTGGCCCACGCCTACTCCCGCGCCAAGGTCAAGTTCAACGTCACCCGCAACGACAACCACATCATCCAGGCCATTGCCACTGTCGACTTCCAGGACAAGGGCGTCAACAGCTTCTTCATGCGCCTCCGCGAGTGGTACGGCTCGCACTTCCCCGAGCTCCAGCGATTCACGTCCGACAACTACACCTACGCCCAGCTTGTCGGCGTTATTGGCGACAAGAAGACGCTCACTGACGAGAAGCTGCACGACATTGCTGCCGTGCTTGGCGAGGATGGAGAGAAGGCCCAGGCCATTATCGACGCCGCCAAGGTCTCCATGGGCTACGACCTCAGTGCCCCGGATTACGAGATGATCCAGCAGCTGTCTCAGCTTGTCGTCAAGCAGGCCGACAACCGTCGATCCACCTCCACCTACCTTGACGAGAAGCTCGACCAGGTCGCGCCCAACCTCAAGGCCCTGCTCGGATCCAGCGTCGCTGCTCGTCTCATCTCCCACGCGGGTTCTCTCACCAGCTTGGCTAAGCTGCCCTCGTCGACCCTGCAGATCCTCGGTGCCGAGAAGGCTCTGTTCCGAGCACTCAAGACCAAGGGCAACACCCCCAAGTTTGGTCTCCTGTACCACGCTGGCGCCATCGCAAAGGCTAGCAAGCAGAATAAGGGTCGCATGTCCCGTTGCGTCGCCAACAAGGCCTCCATGTGCTCTCGTATCGATGTTTTCTCTGGTGAGCCTGACGACCGATTTGGCCAGGCCTTCAAGGCGCAGGTGGATGAGCGTCTCGAGTTCTACGCGACTGGCAAGCGCCCTTCCAAGAACACTGATGTCATTGTAAGTTGCAAAGATGCTGTCGTCCCTTGCCATGTCAATTGGTGTCTAACCCCCGATGTAGAAGTCCGTTATGGAGACCCTTGGAGATGCCGGCGAGAAGCTGGATGAGGACATGATTGATGCTCCTGAGGCTGCCGCTTCCAAGAAAGAGAAGAAGGACAAGAAGGAGAAGAAGGACAAGAAAGACAAGAAGGAGAAGAAGGAGAAGAAGCGCAAGCACGATGATGAGGATGTCGCCATGACCAACGTCGATGATGGCGAGAAGAAAAAGAAGAAGAAGAAGTCCAAGGGAGCCAAGGATGAGTAGAGCGATTCCGCCGCTTCCGAGTCTTCGACTGAGTCCGAGTCAAGCGATGTGGCCCCGCCCAAGGAGCCCAAGCGAGACGTCAAGCTGAAGGGAGAGCACGGAGATGGTGCTTCGACTTCCGACAAGAAGGAGAAGAAGCACAAAAAGGACAAGAAGGAGAAGAAGCTGATCAAGAAGGAGAAGCTGGCCGACGAAAGCTCCGCCGAACTCGACGAGAACTTGGAGGAACTCGCCGAGTCCAAGCCCAAGAAGAAGGACAAGAGCAAGAAGAACAAGAAGAACAAGCAAGTCGAGTGAGGGATGAGCAGGTTGGACAGCATTCTCGGAGAGGCCAGCTTCTTGGCCTCTTGTGGGATGGAATAAAAAGGGGAGGGAGCGGTATCTGCTGCACTTCACATTTGAGGGAGTTGTAAGGGAATACGGTAATGGCGTTCAAGGAACAACTACTTTCTGTTTTGTTACATGTTTGAGTACTACAAAGGGGCTTGCATTCCCGATATTTGCGGTTGCAAATGTCGATTTACCCTAGGTCTGTTGACATAATGCACGTTACCAATTGAATCTGAAAAAAGTACACACTGGTAGCCTATTGGGATAGATTCTGGTGAGCCTGAACTTGCGATTGCTGCAGCACTGTGATCAGGGCGAATGCCGGAAGACGCATTTCTCAGAGTGTGGGCCTGGAAGGGGACTCGTGGAGAGAAGATACCTACTAATACTGAATTGCGCGTGGAGAATGGCACTCGATGGGCCCTTATCGCCTTATCGTCATTTGATCGAACATTTGCAGCTCTCATTTGCAGCGTTTTATCATGGAAAAAAGTACAGGCATCACAACGTCATGAGCAGAATGAAACATGGCACTCATTGCACATTGTCACATTACAGTCTGAATCAAGTCCCAAACGTGTCTCAAATCAAGCATTCATTACCAGAAGCCGCCGGATGTGCTCTCTATGCTACATCAACGCCCTTTGTATGTTATGGCAGTCCCATGGCTCCAGCTGTCCAATCCACAAAATTCATTTTTCCATTTTTTGTAAGAGGTTTTTTTGAGTTTGGTTGTCGTCTACTGCTTGTCGAAGACGTAGGTCAGGTGGCAGCGACCACAGTACTGACGGTCAGGCATGGCAGCCATGAAGACACCGGCACCGCACTGATTGACTTGTCAGTCTGAAGATCTTGGTCAAGGGCGAAGAGGATAATTTCAGGGTACTCACGGTGTCGGAGGGGCACTCGCGGCGAAGGCGCTCGATGTTACCATCGTTGCTGACCTTGTAGTACTTGAGGACAGCCAACTTGGTCTTCTTGCGCTTGTGCTTGATCTTCTTGGGGGTGGTGTAGACCTTCTTCTTCCTCTTCTTGGCACCACCACGCAGGCGCAGGACCAGGTGGAGGGTGCTCTCCTTCTGGATGTTGTAGTCGCTCAGGGTGCGGCCATCCTCGAGCTGCTTGCCGGCAAAGATCAGGCGCTGCTGGTCCGGGGGGATGCCCTCCTTGTCCTGGATCTTGGACTTGACGTTGTCGATGGTGTCGGAAGACTCCACCTCAAGGGTGATCGTCTTCCCCGTGAGGGTCTTGACGAAAATCTGCATCTTGCCTAACTGGACGGGTCAGATTGGTTTGCACGGCATTTACCATTTGCGCTGCGTGAGAAGTTCTGCAGAAGAAGGGAGGAAGAGAGAGAGGCAAGAAATTGCGTGTATCTGTGATGCAGATTTCTCCGCCTCACAAGACGACAATTTGGGATATTTTGGGGAAGCAAAGCTTCCGGGAGCAACAAGAGAGAAATTTCATCAAGAAGGACACATCAATGATGATTCCCTCATGAAGCTCCCGGAGCTCATGGAGGGCAGGCAGAAATGCAGCATCTTTCAGACATACCTCGACAATAAAAACTATTGCCGTCCTAAGCAATCTTCAGATGTTGCAGAAGATGAGGGAGCAGTCCATTTCGGTGGTGTGGCGCGCCAGAAAATTCACACTTTGGACCCGACGGGGGACCGCTGCTAACGCGGTCACCTGACCTAGGGTTCTCGCTACAGGCTGCCCTGGCCCCTCGCCAAAATTTCTGGAGTAGAACTACTAGTACAGCCAGCAGCAGTAGTAGTAGTAAGCGCCGCAGCCCGATTTGTGCAGCGGTGGGAGGCGGCACTAAAATTGCCAAAGTGGGCAATTTGATTTGGCACAGCTTTTTGTGCTGCTGCAAAAAGCCCTAGAACGTGAGGCGAGTCCAGGTCTCCAGTTCTTTTCGACAAACACCGATTGCCCAGTACGTGGACCGAACTTCCTCTTCTTCTTCTTTTCCTTCTGCGTGAGAATTTAACAGTTCAATCCAGACACCGCCAAAATGGTCAAGAAGAGAAAGAACAAGTATGCACTTCTGCCCCCTTGCTCCCTCGCAATCGTCTATCCCGGCGCATCCCCATTGTCCGGAACTGCTTTTGGAGCCGATGCGTGCTTACGCTGCTGCTGCGAGAAGTGCCGTCGTCTAATAGCATCTTGCCGAGATGGTGATGATGGGATGACAATTCGTGCTTGGAAGCTCCCATCGCAGAAACACGATGCTAATATGACCACAGCGGCCGCAACAAGAAGGGCCGCGGCCACACCAAGCCCATCCGCTGCAGCAACTGCTCGCGATGCACCCCCAAGGATAAGGCGATCAAGCGCTTCACCATCCGCAACATGGTCGAGTCTGCTGCCATCCGTACGTCGATCCGCCCCAATACTCGAGCATTCTCTCTCTCTGAGGTCCATGGAACTTGGCATCCGCTAACCGGTGTGTCCTGCAGGTGATATCTCCGATGCCTCCGTCTTCGCCGAGTACACCGTCCCCAAGATGTACCTGAAGCTGCAGTACTGCGTCTCTTGCGCTATCCACGGCAAGATTGTCCGGTACGTTGCCTCCCCAGGGAGTGTTACAACTGCGCCCTTGCGGCGTATGTGCTTCAGATGAGCCTTGGTTGTACATTGGGACCTTTTTGCTGGTCCCCGCTCTCGAAACTCCTATATACCCCCCCGAAGTTCCCCCTTTCACAAAGAGGTACGTTGGAATGCTGACAGAATATGCAATAGTGTCCGTTCGCGCGAGGGCCGCCGTAACAGGGCTCCCCCTCCCCGTGTCCGCTACAACAAGGACGGCAAGAAGATCGTCCCCACCGCTGCCCCCAAGGTCTAAAAAATGGGTATGATGGTTATGGGAACGGAGTCTGGTTTAGTTTTAACGCCTTTCATGTAATTGCTTAGATGAATCCCCGGGACAAAGAGAATCCTGGAGCATAAGATGAATCGGACTTTTTCTTTTTGTTGAAAGAGCAACCTGTTGCCTCCCTTTTTCGCTTTGTGATGCTTGCAAGATATGTTGCCTGACATATGATGGGGGAGAAAGGAAACGCACAAACAATCCAAAGTACATAACCACCAGGGCCAAAACCAACAACCATGTCCTCCTTACGTCCTACAAAACAAACAGTCGACTTTACAGACTCGCCACCCGTGTTCCGAGTCGGATCAAGAACCAGATCAACTCAACTCAACTCAGAAGAGGCCTGGCCTCACCAGCGCACTGCCGTTCTGCGCACACTCATACGGATCAACGCACACGCCCGTGCCGCAGCAACTCCCCGTCAAGCACACAAACGTCGGATGCCCAGCCTTGGAACAATCATCATCGACCTTGCACTCGCTCACAAAGTTCTCGCACTCGGTAATCTCAAAGGCCACCGACGCCCCCGAGGCCATGTTGCCGCAGACGCAGCCCGTGCCGCCGAGATGCGCGCTCAGGGGGTACGCGCACGTCCCCGCGGCCTCGTCCCTGCTGGCGTTGCTCCCGGGGCTGCAGCACGCGAGCTTGCCCGGGTCCTGGACGGTGACGTTGAAGGGCTTGGGGCTCTCGGGCGCCCAGTTGAGGCGGGCGATGGCGTCGATGTAGGTGACGCCCGCGCGGAGGCTCATCCTGAGGGGCATGTCGCCGGCGTGCAGGTCCTCGCAGATGTCGTCCTCGAAGTTGCGGTACTGGTTGTACACGTCAATGTACTCCTGGATGGCGCTGACCTTGTCCGGGCTCTGGGTGCGCAGCTTGGAGAAGGCCTGCTTGAGGATCTCCCACAGCTGCTCGTAGTAGATGACGACGAGGTTGGCCTCTGCCTTTTGCGCGTCGTCCAGCCCCTGGTTGTACAGCTCCGTGCGGAGAGACTCGGGGTTGATGAAGTCCTGCCCGTTGGCCTCGAGGGTCGTGATGACGGTAGACAGGTCCGGACAGGCGCCGCCAAAGGGGTCCGTGAAGAGAAATTCCTCAATATCGTTCTTCACGGCCCATTCGCACTTTGAGGTTCCTGAATCCGAGCCAGGGAATGTGCAGGCAAACAGCCAGCGGCCCGTCTCCTCGTCGACGTCGATGTCGTTGCAGTCTGTGTCCCCGATCTTGAGCTCTGGATACTTCCTCACCGTCTGCTTAACCGGGTTACCGCACTGATCCCGCAGATACAGGGTCTGGTTGAAGTCGACGTCGCTCATGCGTTTCATCATCTTCTGGTCGCCTGTGGAACAGACCTGGCCAGAAAGCGCAGCCAGCTGCTGGTACATGGAGTCGATGGTGATGGACACATCGTACTGGCAGTTCTTGGTCGAGAAGTGAATGCCATGAGCATCGATGATCATGGCATTGTAAAGGGAGTCCACAATGGCAATGTAGCTTCTGTTGGAAATGTCGATGTAGTGCGTTCCCTCGGCTGCATCGCGCAGGGTGAGATACAAGGGGTCAACGCCATCTGTCTGGAAGTCGATGGACTCAATGTACGGGAACGGAATCGTTGCGTTTTGCTCCCGGAGATTCGTGTTGTGAAGCAGCGCTCTTCGCGTCGAGCCTTCTGCCGGCTGCGGCATCTGGTAGCATGTCGGCTTGACAATGGCACCGGTGCGAGTGACCTGCGTAAAGTTGGCAGCGGGCAGGGGAGGGGGGCCGGTCTGGGTTGCGTTGACGATGCGGCTGATGGTGCTGCTGTTGAAGCCGCTGGGCGTGATGAAGGGGGCAGACGTGAGAGTCGTTGCTGTTGCCGTGGCGTTGCCGGAACCTGTTCCTGCCCCTGAGTTGCCGGAGCTGCCCGTGGCTGTCGAGGACAGAGAGCCCATGGTGCCGGTACCGGCGGCCCCTTGAGATGATGACCCTGCCGAACTGTTCCAGCCGGGGCCTGCGGATGCTCCGCCAGAGGTTATCGTTGGTGTTGCTCCTGTGTAGGTGATGCTGCCGGCTGAAGTGGCCGAGTTCTCCTGGCCACCATTTCCCGAGCCACCACTTCCTGAGGCGGTGGAAGAAGAGCCCTGGGCACCTTGTGTACCTGATGCCCCTGCTCCGCCGTTTCCTCCGTTTCCAGAGGAAGCACTGCCGGATGCTGAGACTGATGCCGAGCCCGAAGCTGACGCTGAGGCAGAAGCAGATCCAGAGCCCGAAGCTGATGCCGAAGCTGAGGCTGAGGCTGATCCAGATCCAGATGCTGAAGCCGACCCTGATGCAGATGCCGAGCCAGAGCCTGAAGCTGAAGCAGATGCCGAAGCAGATGCTGACCCAGACCCTGATGCTGAAGCAGATGCTGAAGCCGATGCTGATGCTGTCTTGGACGAACCAGCCGAGCTGCCACCATTACCAGAGCCATTCCCCCCAGCCCCGGACGAAGTCCGCGTCACCTTGCCCGTCATCGACCCAGTATCAGATCCAACGATCCCCGACGCCGTGCCCGAAGCACTCCCCGAGCCGCTGCTCATCATAGAACCAGAGGAAGTGGCTTGCAAGATACTCGAAGGCTCAACGGAAACACGGCCACTCGAGCCCGAATCACCCGTCTGCGAAGAACTGCCAGAGCTTCCATCCGTCAGAGTACTTCCATCACTGCCGCCGCCGCCGCCGCCTGTCGTTTGGCCGGTGGCTGTAGGGGCTGTTCCGTAGGCAGTACCCGTCGTTATGAGACATGCGCACTACCACACACGCATGGCACACTCATCATCAGCCAAGGCCCTCCCCCCCTTTACAATAACAAGCCTCAGTGTCAAGGAGACTTACGTATGAAGACAGCTTTTCAGAGGGATACGCCGTAAACTGCGTAGGCGTGACCGACACCTCGCACGGAGTCTTGACCATGCTCGAGCAAAAGTCGCCCCCATCCTTCGAGAGGGACGTGTAAAGACCGTCATACGAACAAGAAGCGGCGTTTTGAGCCGCAGGCAAGGCAGAGACGCCGTGGAGAATGGACAAGATGGCAAGAAGCAACATGGTGAACCAAGAGAGAGAGCGAGAATTATGAATAATTTGCGTGTCCGATGCTCGAGAACGACAGATGGAGGAAGAGTGTCCTGGTAAGAATGAATAGACTCTTTGCCAGTTGGTTGATATATATATATATAATATACGTAAGTATGAATAGATATTCATGACAGCTGAAGAAAGAATCATTCACCAAAGCTGACACTCTCCGCTGCAAATTCGCACAACTTTCGCTGTCCTCAGCTCCTCAAGAACCGAGACAACAAATTGCCGTGTATCCGTAACTCAGCAGCCCCTGACTAACTTCGACAACGAAAGAACCTCCGATTCGGCCCTGAAATCCTGGTTCTCCATGCCCTACCGTCCCTCGTCCCAGACAAGAGTGCCATCCGATGCCGAGTTCCTGGTGCATAGAGCGAGCCACCCTCAACCCAGAGCCTAGAACCGGCAAATCTGGTTGCATCTGTCTCGGCCGGACTCGAACGGTCCCCCTATCCCGCTCTCCAGCTCCTTCTTTCCACACTTTCGGTCATCTCGGTTGTACTTTTGCAGCTTGATCCTGTCGATTCAAGACCGCAAACGCAACCCAAACCACCACCTAAATTAAGAACCTTCACAATCTTTCTTCTGATCATACAAACATCACAAACCTCACTCCTCTTCCTCACTCCCACAACCCCTGTTATGCCACCCCCCTCCCTTTCCGTAACACAACATCCAAGCTCGTGCAACACCACCCAAGCAACACTCAACACCCAACACCCATCACCATCTCTCTTCTGTCTCATGCATGCGCCATCAATCGCGAGATCCTGCACTCTCTCACGTTTTGTCTCGGATCCTGTGTCTCTCTCTCTCTCTCTCTCTTCCTTTGTCTCTGACACTCTGGTTTTTGTCTCTTCCCAAAGGGGTCAAGAGGCTGGCTACTTGCTGCACGTGGCACAAACACGGCACGCAAAACGCACGAACCACCCATCAGGAATCAGACATGAGGAGGGAGGGAACAAGTGGTGATGCCAGCTTTTGACTCCCCTTCTTCCAAGACATTTCTCGCATGTCCCGATATGGGGTTGGTCAATGGAGAAGGGAGAGGAATGGGAGCCATGATTCTAGCTCCGGAAGACGTGAGGAGGCCGCCTTGGTGCGAGTGCTCGAGGCGAGCGCCTTCGCTTCCGCGAGACTTGAAGGTAAACAGGACCTGAACGGATGTTGCCACTCGTGGGCTCCCTCTCTCCGTGGACAAACTGTCTTCAGAGCCGATGGTGGCAGGAGGCGGCGAAGAGGGGAGAAGTGAGAGGAAGAGAGGTAGGAATTGGGTGAAAACGGACTGGGGGAAAATAGGGGTACGGTTTTCTACACTCAACTTACATACTTCGAGGCTCACCTGAATCTGCTTCATAAGAATCATTAAAATGCTATATGCTCTCTCTGTCCATCCGACTCGACCGTCTGTCTGCAAGAGCTCCCAAGGAAAGAACAGAAGCCACCGCCATATGCTCCTCAATGTCCGCCTACCCTTTGCCCTTTCCCATATATACGTCCATGGATACATCATTAACTGTCGTAAAGAAAAATCAGCCATCGCAGTCCAAAGAAGAAGAAAATAACGCAACAGTCGTCCCCTATCAACCGTGTGAAAACAACAACAACTTGGCAGTACTACCTAATCGCAAGTGTGGCCGTAGCGCCAGCTCCCAGTGTTCTCTGGTGCTGCTGCGTCATTTGAGGCCTCTCGATAAAGTCCTTGTTCTCTATCGTCACACTCTTTGTCATATGGTTGACCTTGTACACGCCGACGAGGCGGGCTGCAAGCTCAAACATGTTGTTTCGTAGCGAGATGACGATGAACTGTGCGTTCTTTGTACGCTCCTTGATGTAATTCGCCACGATCGAGACCTGGTAGTGTGTGTTAGCATGCCAGACGCCCCTATCGCTACGAACTTGCAGTAAAAGGGGGGAAAGGGGGGCTAAATCAGGAACGAAACGACTGCAGGGCCGATACTTACATTTCGAAAGTCCAAAGCGGCGTCAATCTCGTCCATGACATACAGCGGCGTAGGCTTGTAGTGATGCAGGGCAAACACCAATGCCAGACTACTCAGAGTCTTCTCACCACCCGACAAGTTGCCAATGTTCTTCCAACTCTTCTTCGGCGGCATCACGCTGAAGAGGATGCCTTCGCTGAACGGATCCAGGCTGTCAACGAGCTCGAGCTCTGCGTTGCCTCCCATGGTGATCATCTGGTACATCTCCTTGAGACGCAACGAGATTGCGCTGAACCCCTCCATGAAGCCTTCAAGTCGGAGACGACGCAAGTCATCGCACCTCTTCTTGGCAGCATCGCGCTGTTCGATAGCCGTTTGCAAATCAGACGCGCGAGACATGTGCTCTTCCACACGGCGGCGGTACTCGGCCAAAACGCCGAGGTCGACGCTGACATTTTGTGTCTTTTCTTCCAGAGCCGCGATTTCGCCCTTAAGCTTCTCCTTGTTCATATCAGCCAGCTCGTCTGGCGTATATCTTGGGAGCTCGCGGGGGTTGCGAGGACGGCGGGCGGGCGCCGGCGCCGGCGCGCTGGGGGCGTGCTCCGTGGCATCAGACTCGGCATCTGATGCGTCCGTCATCTCAGTGTCAGCATCCGTCATCTCAACGTCCGAGCCGTCATCATCTTGGCCTGAAGCTTTCGGCGTGCCTGGCGCTTCTGGCTCTTGCGTCTCCTGTGCCGCGGCAGTCCTAGGAGCCGAGTTGCCGATGAGATCGTCAATGTCTTGGAGCACAAGCTTGGACAGCTTATCCTCCCAGTATCGGAAGCGTTTCTGGTTGTCAGCAAGCACCTTTTGGTTCTCTTCGAGTTTGTTCCGCATCTCAATCTCCACGGCGCGGCTCGCGTTGAGCTCCGCAGTCTTCTCGTCTAGCTCACCCTTGAGCTTCTTCAGCTCCTTCTTCTTCAGCGCCAGGCCTTCCTCGGCTTCCTCCACGCGAGCCTTGAGCTCCTCTGCCCTCTCTCCTTGGTTGTTGAGGCCATCCTGGAGCTGCTGGAGATCGTGGACTGCAGCATCACGCTCCTTGGTAGCCTTTGCAAAGTCCCTCTCGAGCTTGATCTTTTGCTTCTCAGCCTTGGCTTTCTGGACTTCGGCTTTGGAGATTTCGTCGCTGTGGGACGTGATCTCCTGCTTGATGGAGTCGACCTTGGCTCGCTGAGCCCGGAGCTTCTCTCCACCAACCTCCATTATCTTGTTTTGCAGAGCCTTGATCTCCTCTTCGACACTAGACGTCTCTCCGCGGGTCTTCTTAAGCTCCGCATTAAGCTTGGCTATTTCCTTCTGCAGTGCCGCGATTCGCTGGGAGTCTTCGGCAGACGGCTGGTACTCTCGGCTGACCTCTTTGATGCGTCGCTCGACATCAGCCAGGTTTCGCGTAGAGCTCTCCATTTCCAGCCTGATCTTCTGCATCTTGGTGTCCAGCTGTGGGATCTTGTGGTTGAGTTCTTTCAGGTTGTTCTCGCATTCTCGCTGGTACTCCTGGAACTCTTGGAACTTGGCTTCCCAGGCATCGCGATCCTCTTCGAGTTTGGCCACCTGCTCCTTGGTGGTATCCGCCACAAGCTTGGAGGACATGAGGCCTCTCTTGACAGTCGAGCCACCTCCAGACATTGTACCGGACTTATCGATCAGTTCACCATCCAGCGTGACAACTCGCCACCTCCTGGCACCGTACGCAATGCGATTCGCTTGCGCAAGGTCATTGGCAACGAGCGTATCCTGCATAGCGTGATAAAACGCCGGCAGGAACTTGTCTGCTTTTGCGGTGACGAGATCAAACAGCCGCGGTGCATTTTCAGGTGTCTGAATCGGTGAGAGGTCTCGGTGTCGCAGTTTGTCCAGGCAGATGAAGTTGCCGCGGCCAAGGTTGTTCTTGCGCAGGTGCTCGATGCACTGCTGACCGGCCTCGACTGTCTCGGTGACAAAGTTGTCCAGCGAAGGACAGGCCGTGGAGACTGCCACATCGTATTTCCTGTCAATGGTACCAAGATTGCCCAGGCGACCGTGGAAGCCATCGATACGGCCCGATTCCTTCATCCGCATCAGAGCAGACAAGACATTGCCCCTTGTCTGGTTATTGGCCAGGCTTGAGCGGGCCTCGTCTGCCTTTTGTCGTGCGGTGGAGATCTTGGACCTGATCTTGGGCTCCTGCTCAGAGAGAATCTGGAGCTCCGACTTCATCTTTTCGGCCTCCTTTGTCAACTTTGCCTTTTCGGCCTGGCAAGCCTGGAGCTCATTCTGCTTGGCAACCTTGCCCTCTTCGATGGAGTTGATCTTGGCCTCGAGCTCCCGCAGGGCAACGGCACCTGCATTCGCTTTTTCTTGCAGGATGTTCATCTCGCTTTCAGCGACAGCAATGGCAGACTGCTTCTGGTTGATCTTCTCCATCCATGGTTCCAGAGATTTTTGTTTGGCCGCGATCTGATCGGAAAAGACTTGCGTCTTCCCTTTCAGACTTTCTCGGATGTGGGCAAGCTCGGCTTCCTCTTCCTTGACCATGTTCTCTAATGCCGTAATCTCGTGTGTTTTGGTTTCAATCTCATTCCCACACTGCTCAATTGTCTCTTCCGCCTCGGCTGCGGAGAACTCGGCGTTTCGAATAGTCTTCTCAAGCTTCTTCCTCTTGTCTTCCAGGAATTTTCTCTTCTCGTCGAACTTGACGCGCTCCTGCTCAAACTTTGCCAGTTCCTTTGACAAGGCTTTGGTTTGCCGATCTTGAATCTCAAACTCCCTGATGACTTCGTCGTATTTGCTTTCAAGCTCCTTGATGATTTGTTGACTGCCCTGGTGCTTTTCGAGTTCATTGTCAAGCTCGGCTTGCATCTGGTTGATCGCCTCTTCCGTGACGGCGATGTTATCAGTGCACTCGTGGATGTAGAGCTGATATAAAGCCGACTGCTTCATGGCGAGCTCGTTCTCATCGCGAATGAATGCAAGCGCCTTGTCCTTCTTCTCTTCCAAGCTGTTCTTTTCCTTCTCAACGTGCTGCACACGGGAACTCTTGTCCATGCAAACTTCGTTGAGCGTCTCGACTTCGGCGGCGGACTCCTCGATCGGAGTCTTGTACTTGGAGGTTCCGATAATGTCCTCGAGATACTCTAGCAGGCCATCTTCGTGCTCGTTTGCGGCTTTCGGTTTCATTTGCGCAATCGATTCGACTTCTCCCTGAAGGATGAGGAAACGTTTGTGGTCGAGGTCAACGCCACGGTCACGCAGCAGCGTGGTCACAGTCGTAAAGTTGGACTCCTTGTTGTTGATGTAGTACTTGCTCGAGTTGTTCCGGAAGGCCTTGCGGGAAATGATGAGCTGGGAATCCGGAATTACCGTGTGACCACCACCAGGCTAGAAGCTGTCAGCGAATAGTACGAATGGTTGCAAAGAGATGACAGTACTTGCCTGGTCCAGAACCTCCTGAAAGTGAACAGCAACCTCGCAGAACTCAAGGTTGGGATACTGCGCAGAGTTGTGGATCAAAGCCGAGATCTTGCCCTGTCGCATCTTGCTCGCTCGGAACCCAAAGACGAAGAGGAGGGAGTCGATGACGTTGGATTTGCCTGAGCCGTTGGGTCCAACAACTGATGAGAAGGACGCGTGGAAGGGTCCTACTTCCTGCCGCCCAGCGTAACTCTTGAAGTTGTTGAGCACTAGGTGCGTAATGACTATGCGAGGCTTTGGCGTGGTATCCTCCACAATGGGTACCGTGAGTGTCCGTGACTTGAGCACAATGTCCATTGGTTTCTCCAAAAGTGTATCCATCGGCTTGGTCGGCTTGAAGGGTGTTTGTGATGAGAAGAATTTGGTCCCGTTGATATTCGAGGTAGCGTCTCGCAGAGGGGAGCCCGGCGCCTGAGAGCGAGGTGGAGTCGACGGTCGTCGGGCCTGAGTGAACGGTGTCTCTGTCGATGTCGGCGGTAAGCGGGATGCTGCAGGCGTTGCCGGTACCTGCGGTGCCTCTTGAGGTGCTTCTTGCGGCGTTTCTTGAGGTGCATCTTGAGGTGCTTCTTGAGGTGCTTCTTGAGGTGCTTCTTGTGGTATTTCTTGCGGCGCTGGTGTGCTGCGGGAAGATCTTGGATTTGCTCTTGCTTGCGCCTTTGGAGCGGCTCGTTTCCTTGGCGTTACCGGCTCCTCTGACAATGGCGGATTCTCAAAGACGACGGATGCCGACCTTCTGCTCGCCCTCTTCTTAGGAGGAGACTGAATGTCGGATGATGCGTTGCTTGCCAGCGAGCTTCGCGATGTCATGCTCCTCCGCTTCGGCGGCGACGGCCGCGTCGGCAGGCTTGCCGTTGGTGTGCTGCTATCGACGCGGGAGCCATCGACTGACTCCAGCAGCTCGCTGGACTCGGCAGATGAAGCGACCGCCCGAGCCCTCTTAGGTCGGCCGCGGGTCCTTGTCGAAGTCGAAGTCGAAGTCGCGGTCACATCCGCCTGGGAGATTTCGTCGGCGCCGAGTATGTCGCTGGCATCTGCCGTCTCGGCCGGCGTCGGCGCTTTCTTTGGGCGTCCACGGGGTCGAGGGGCGGCGGCGGCGGGAGCTGAAGCCGACGTCGAAGCTGAGGCGGATGCGGATGCTGGAGCAGCCCGGCGCGTGGTCCTGGTCTGCTTCTTGACGGCTGGTTTCGATTCTTCGTACGACGACTCGCTCTTGATGTCGGGGCTCGTGGAGGAGGAATTGAGGGAGATTTCATCCTCGCCGTCGGATTCGACAATGCGCCGGACGCGACGCGATCGCCCTGCAGCTGAAGCCATGATTGATGCTTTGTGATGGTGGGCTGTCGCTCACAAGCCCAAGGGGGGAGAAAGAAAGAAAGAGAGGGAGAGAAAGAGAGAGAGATTGGCGCTGCAGGTGAGGCTCAGGTTACAGCCAGAGGGTATTTTCTAGCGGGAAATAGCAAGGGTAGGCGCTCTGCCAGACGCCGTCAGTGTCGTTCACGATGCTTGTGCTTGTCGAGGCTGCATCTGACCGTGAGTTCGATCTGTTGGACCCCGCGCTTCAAGGCGTTTGTTTGGAAATGTCCAAATGCGTGTCTGTGGTTTGTAAACAATGGCGGCCGGTACGTACCAGCCATCCTCCACCCCACCACGGTTTGGCTCAGGTCTTCACTTCCAGTGGCTTCAGCGCTATAATAAAAGCGATAGTAGAGGCTGTCGGTGGCTTGAGCTATGTTGGGAGCGGCTGCACGTGACGTCGCGACAAGCAATTGATTGGGTCACCCACCTTAGGCATGCACTATCAGAGAGGCGCTAGTCCAGTAACTTACAGCAGCAGAACTTCCAGCTATCAGAGCTTCGCTTCACAAGGTAGTAAGACGACACTGACAGAACAACCCGGTCTTTCATTTCTCCCTCTGTGTCCATCTTGAACCTCCAATTCCTCCACAACAGCGCGCAAAGATGCTCGAGTACACCGACTTTCAAAAAGTCTTTCCCCCCGGGGCCCAGATGCCCTACGACCGCAAACGCATCCACGAAATCGAGGCGCGTCGCAAAGAGCTGGGCGGGCAGCTCTTCATCGATCGTGTGTTGAAAGCGCTGGGCATCACCAAGAGTCAGTCTGGTCCCCTGGCCCTGGCCTTTTTCGGAATCGTAACTAATGGCGGTCGTCATATCCAGACAAGGTGTATCCTCCAAAGAACGACAATGGGGTTCGACAACTCCACCAGCAAATCTGCGAAAGCACCATGTCCATGCACCACAAGCTGTCGCTCCTCTACTACGTATTGCTCGACTATGACACGGTCGACGGCCAGGTCTCGATATCGGAGACCTTTGCGTCTACTTCCAGCATGCCGCAGAACTACGAGATATTCATGAAGGGCCTGTGGTACATGGACGGCCTCGAGTTTTCGGTTTGTGGCTACTGAATCCGCGGCAGAAGGGGAGCTTTGAATACCTTTAGGTACTAACAGGTTGCTAGACGGCTCTGGAATTCGTGGCCCATCCATCATTGATATCCGACTTTGCGGATGATATCATCATCGCTCTTGTCGAGCATGCTACGGACGGCGACTACGATCTTGCGCTCGCCTACTTCCACACGGTGCAGCCAGTCTTGAAGACGTCCAGGGCGCTGGAGCTCATCTTTGGCGCAATCGCTCAGACCAACGTGACCGAAGCACTGCTTTATTCCCGGACGTTCCCCGAGCACACTCGCGAGCAGCTGTTCCGTCAAATGGTGGCTGAAACGCTGGGCAACAAGTCGGATCAGGCGGACGAGTTGGCCTTTTTGCCCTTTGACTCCGTCGAGGAAGCCTGGTTTGAAGAATATCTGTCGACCGGCGACGGAAGGAACCTGAAAAAGGCAAAGGACACGCTGCTGGTTCGCAAGATTGCCAGCGACCGGTTTGGGGAGATTCGCACGCAGCGCACAAGCAGCCAATGGGGTCCTGTGCTCGAAGGCATCAAGCTGGGTATCGAGGGTCAACTCGAGTAGATTGAGAAGTGTCTGTTTGATCCGAGCCTCTTTGCATAGCGATGGCGTTTTCTGGTTTATATCTATTCATTTGCACTTCTTCTTTCTAATCGGATATGGAAGAGTTACGCGTTCCTACCTTGGTACTTTGCTGTGCCAGGCAATATCTGAATGCAGCTGCCCATGTACCTCTAGCAATAAAGTCCATAAGATCATGACCTTGATCTAACGAAACGCATCAGGTTTTTTTTCTTTTATCTATACCATGTTCTTTCGCCCTTGCTCATTCCCAAATATGACTGATTGCAGGCATAATCCATACCAAATGACCTTTTTCCACTCCACCCTTCCCCCGTCTTTACTGCGTCTTCTTGCCCGCAGACGCGGCCTTGACCTTGGCAAAGGCCCGTGCCGTCTCGCTGGCGCTCTGCCAGATGAGCAGCAGGGGAATGACGATCCAGAAGAAGTTGCAGAGGAAGTAGTAGGCCCAGAAGTAGAAGCGCTCGGGGCGGCAGTAGACAATGTCGAAGACGACCTCCTGGAAGGTGCAGATGGCGTAGTAGAGGATGTCGCCGTAGAGCTGGCCGAGGCTGATGATGAGCTGGAAGGGGTGGCGCAGCGGGTGGTCGGCGATGATGAAGTAGACGCAGGCAAAGGACATGGGCCCCCAGAGGACGGCGGTGACGGTCTCCATGCAGACGGTGAAGGCGTCCTGGCTCATGTAGCGCGAGTCCGAGAGGGCGTATTCCTTCCACAGCTGGCCGAAGATGTCCGTCTTGCTGGCCATGTCGAAGGCGTTGTAGGAAAAGTAGCCTGCCATTTTGGAATGTCAGCATCCACATGTGTTTTACCTGCACGATGAAGAGACAACGAGCGAACTGCGTGTAAGGTATGTCTCGTATCATCACATGAAATGCTCGCTCTCACTCACCCTCGAAAAACAGATGGATACAGCCGCAGAGGGCAAACCACAGCGCCACGGCCAGGTCACCGCCGCTCATCGAGGGCCGCGTCCGCTGGATGATGCCGTAGGTGACGAGGAAGATGACGGCGCATCCCGCCGCGAAGATGGACACCAGGACGGGCGCCGAGAGCGTGTTTGCGACGTAGGTCGGCAGCTCAATGGCAAAGGGCGAGAAGGGGTGAAGCGGCAGGTCTGCCATGGCTTGCTTGACGGAGTCGTTCATTTTGTGTGTGGGTGTGGTGGGTGTGTGTGTGCTGCAGGGAATTGAAGCCGAGCTATACAGAAAAGTTGCAGAAAGAAGAAGAAAGGAAGAAAGAGAAAGAAGAAAGAAAGAAGAGTGAGAGAGTGAAAGTAAGAGTGAGGGGTTGAGATTGTGTCTAGGTATTATATCACCCGCCAAGATGTTTGCTTCCTGTCCAGTTTGTGTACCTTAACAAGAAGATTTTCCCCATGCTTCTGTGTGTGTGTGCTTCCCATCAACGTTTGAACCACCTGGCCGGCATGGATTGGCTGCTGTTGGTGCCAGTGCGACGGGGTCCAGCAGTCGAGTCGGGTACGAATACGGGCCACTACGTAAGGTACCTCTTAGTAGGCGTGTGTGTCCAAGCAGCCGTGGAAAGGGGGCGGTGACGGAAAATGGGGGCCTTTTTTGCTTGTCGATTTAATTTTGATTTGGGCTTGCACTTGGACTGACTCGGTTTTGTTGCGATGGACTGCCTATTACCTGAGGGAGACTTGGGTTGTTTCTGATATTGGGCACTGAGGCGATACACCAATATATCACTACGTACCTACTTTTACTTTCGACAATTGGGATATAAATTTCCTTGACAATACTACTAGGTAGTACCCGAGTCTGTCACTGAGATAATGGTGCTAATACGACAAGTCGGAGAAATTGTTGAGATACCATCTCAAGTCGAGATGCGCGTAATTCGCACCTTTATTTTGTGGGGTAAAAAAGTAATCAGGGGAAAGCGAAATCTAGGTACTAGATCTTGTTGGCCTCGCGTTCGTTTAGATCTAAGGTAAGAGTAAGTCCAGGTTAGTAGTCTGACGGCATGTGAAAATGATGGCTCCAACTACACCACGAGAGAATATAGCTCCTATATGCCATGTCAAGTTTTGTATCAAGAGGATAGATTGACTTGAAGACTTTTGTGTCCTCGAGTCAAGAGATAGTCTAGAAGTCTCTTTTCTACGCAAACGCGTCTGCGCCAGTCTCGACGCATCACCAGTGGGGGAGGAAACGGTACCCTGCTGATGGAAACTTGGCAGACGCAGTCCTACAGTACTTGATACGCAGCAAGAAATGATGCACGCGTAGCCCCCCAGTTGGAACTGGAATTTCTCACGTCTCTCTTTGCTAGGAAACGATTGATTTGTGGCATCCATCCAGAGGGCCTACCTAGGTAGGTAAGAAAACCAACTCCAGCCCATTCGAGCTTCCACCCCCGTCTCCCATACAATATCCAAGGTATCAACGGAGTCCGCGGAGTCTGCCTCTCTTCGTCAAATAAATGCAAAGTGGTATTTGTAGTAAGCAGATCATATCCAAGTCTTCCAAGCTTCAGTCCCCTGTTTCGCTCACATCTCCAATATCAACGGAGCCCGCGGAGTCCCGGGACGCAAACACTATCCGCAAGACCACATACATGTCGCAATGTCACACACCCCGTCCCCCAATCCATTCTTTCTCAACAATAATTTCATTATGCCATTAATCCAGCCTCTCTTCCTCTCTCGTTCATCATACATACCTCGCCGCACCGTGTCCCCCCTGATCCCCTCCGTGACCATCCCCGGGTAGCTCCGCAGGCGCGTGATAGTCTCCCATCTCATACACCTGCGCAGGCGACTTGACAACCTTGGGACCTTCCGCAGCCTCCGAAATCTCGGTATCGGGAAGCTCGCTGCCCAGCGGCAACTGCACCCTCCTCGACCGTCGGTAATAGTATAGAAAACCCGAAAAGGCCAGCAGAAACGCAATCCCAAGGCCTATACCAACACCCAGCCCGACCCTGGCCCCGCTGGAGAGCCCCCCTGAGGATTTCGACGTGCTGCCGTCGTTGTTGTCCGCTGCAGAAGTCGTCGATTGCTCACCCGATGATGTCGACGATGGTGTTGATGAAGGCCTTGTTGTGGAAGCTGTTGTCGAGGCAGGCAAGTCGCTTGCCTGGAAGTTGAGCTGGAACATGGGCGCGAACAACATCATTGTCCGCGTCGACGTCGACACCTGCACCTCGCCGCTCGCAGTGTCCGTCTGCGTGATGGTGACGACTGTGGGAAACGTCTCAGTGGCCGAGTCGGTGAGGTCGGTGCCGTCGCAAAAGGCAGTCGGGATGGCCGTTGACGTTGCCGTTGCGATGCATGTGTTTCCGTTGTTGTTGGCGCATGAGAACCCCCTATTATCCAGCCATTGTGTTAGTCAACCCCTCTGACGAACATACTGTTCCCATCATCTTCCTTTTTTTTTTCTTTCTTGCTTGTCCCCCTTTTTGTCATCCGTCGGGCCTGGCTTCTTTCTACTCACGTCGGGCAACATCCCACAGCCGTCTCGGACGACACCAGCGTAAACTGCGTATCCCACTCCGGCCTCTGCCCATAGACCGCCGTGCAAGCCGTCGTGTAGCCCGCGGGACACGCCAGGCCAGGCGAGTAGAAGCCCCAGCCGACAAACGGCCAGGTCGGCGACGCAACGCCCTTCTTGACCGGCGGCCAGCACGCCGTGTTGTCCTGCACCCGGCCGCCGCTGACGGCGTTGCAGGACTGGCCTCGGAAGCCCTGGTCGCACGTCGAGCACGGCGGCATGAAGACGGAGCACGACTCGGGCATGGTCCATGTCGTCGTCAGAGGGCCCAGCAGCGTGCCGGGCTGGTTTGTGAAGGCCATGGCGGGCAACGAAACGCCCCCTTGCTCCTCAAGAGGAGGGATCCTGGTGATATGGATAGGAGAAAGAGAGAGAGAGAGAGAGAGAGAAGCACGTAATAGCGAGCGGCAACGAAAGTGATTTGGCAGGAAGAGCCACCGATTTACCAAGCAAGTGGTCAAGAGAAACACCACATCACACACGCTTCTGTCGCAGATTAAGTGGGAAGACAGGCGACAATGGAACGGAAGCACCAGCACAAATACTATCAACGCGGGCCATGAACGAAACAACAAGCCCTTCGCGGCTCTTGTCCCACGTGCGAGTAGCCCATTCAGATGGCCTAACGCCACGAACTCCATCTCGTTACTACATGTAATACTGTTACTACTACATCCCATTGCAGCCTCAAGCAAGCCTGAGAGCCTGGGCTCGACGGGGACAGGGTCGACTTCTCATAGGGCGGAACTGCAACCGTGACCCCTGAACTTGCAGAAGAGGGTGACATCCACACCCACGAAAAAAGGTTGCCAGGAACGGCATCCTTCTGCTCAGGTGCCTGCCATTCAGCTCTCCTTGCGTGGCTGCCCAGCCATTCAGCCTCCGTTATCCCGACCTGGATGGCCCAATGATTGTCGAGCTGCGCTGACACAGCCTTTTTGGCTGGTCTGGTCCTGCAACAAGTTGTCGTCGTACAAAAGAACAGCCCAGGCAGCGGCGTAATAAATAGCCAAAGAGCGAAGAAGCGAGGCGACACGACACTGGTCAGCGGATCCCACCAAAAGAGAACTGTGTGTGCTGGAGAGGCGGAGGAGAGAGAGAGTGAGAAAAGGATCGCTTGAGGTTCCCGCAGTCTGATGGCGGCAGACCATACAGAAGACGCTGAGCTGATGCCGCGCCCCCGAGATGCGGCGCTTATAAGAGCTGCTGTCGTATCCACCACCAATCCCGATATGTGTGTCCCACTAGGCTGAACGAAGAGCAGGGGGGTTCATCTTGAGTTGCCGAAGCGAAGTGTGATGGATCAGAGAGGAACAAGGTCTTGGTATATAAGTAGCCATGTGTTTCAACGTGATAGTGTAAACCAGTCCCAGATACTCTTCACACGGGATACATCTGTGTAAGTTTGCCTTGTGTATCTAACGACCACCAACATCTGATCAAAGTCCCCGAACTCAGCATCCCTTCAACAGATACAACACATTCTGCCCAAACCTCGCCCAGCCAACCGTGTCATCGGCGCTAAACAACAACCGTTTAGCGTCCTCCTCTGGCATAGTCCTTGATCCTACCGCAAAACAGTCCGGTAACCAAGTTGACAAGGAAGAGGATGCATCTGCACCTGTCCTCGCTCAGCCCCCAACCAAGTCCGCATTCAGGCATGTCCTAGACTTTTACGCGCTTGTACGGTACGGTACTCGCTAGGCTCGGCGAACTGATTTGTTGGACTAGTATCACCACTTGAGCGGTTCGATGCCAGTTGTCTTTGGCGCTTTTACGCGCTTAGCAGATGCCGAGCCGAGAGAGTCCGGTTCGCGATGCGCCCCTGCACGTCGAACAGCTTGTGTTCATGTCGACTCCAAAGGACTCATATGCGGCCACAACACATCCTAGGCTTTTCAGCTTGGATCAATGGCACAGAAGACGAGATGGACGCTTCTATCGGGCTGTCACACATCTCGTACCGCCCCCCCTCTATCGAACACGCCTAGAATGCTCGTTGGTGCATGGTGTAAGCGCCAGCCGAGTACTACGACCCAAATCCTACGTACAGGTGCACGAAACTCTGATGTGTGCTCCGTTGGGTTTGTGTCTGCCAGCGCATGAGCGACTGTATCCGTAGTGCCGCGGTCTCAGCCTTGCCATCTCTGACAAGGACACTCTTCAGATGGTGAAAGTGCTTGCCGCTACTAGATCGGTTATGCGCGTGACTTGCGACGAGGCTGGAGACCGAAATCTCTTTTGCCATCCCCAGCCTCGGATTTCATCATGCCTTGTCCAGCCAGTATTTACATGAGGAAAGGAAAAGGTGGAAGATTGGGCCGGTTTGTCTTGATATCGCGGGCCACTTATGGGATCTTGAATGGATGGGTTTCATATTCATCTACATGCTAGAACATTCACAAGAGGCAAAGGCAAGGTGGTTTGCGTGTCAATGATTGTATGTTTCCGAGTGTTGCTATGGTCGTTGGTAGCACTGGAGACGCATATCCCGTCCGCAATGCAGTGCGCCAACATTACGACCTCACGATCCAGGACTGGCTGTGCAATAGCCCCCTGACGTGCAATGGGATCAACGTCAGTGCACAATTGATGGGCTGAGAATATGACCGGTTCCAGCTGCCACTTGACAGGTTGATTGAACCGGCACCACTTGGTACAAGGTTCACACATCAGATGATGTTGAGAGCTTGGATGTCTGATCAATCATTTGTTAGCACAATGCCACACAATGCAATTGCAACAAAACGTTGAAGGAAACGTGAAGTATCAGGGTAAAAATGCCTTGTCACAGGCGTTATCATCAGAGCATATGGCTAAGTTGACCGTCGTGATATTTGTACATCATGTGAATGGAAAGGAAGGCAAACAAGTGGAGAGATGCTCACCATAAACCATCGCATGCCGCAAGCACCATGCAAGGAACTGTCAATCTTTGGGCCAAGTTAGCCAAGTAGCTCAGCTTTCAAGTCCAAGCGTGATGTGAATGATTGCTGATCAGTTCCGAACATTTTGTCTTCGTCGCGTGAAGCTCAGACATATGCTTGTCATTGTTTATTCGAGCTCATCACGAAAAAGCTGGGAGGTGCAACGGAAGTGGTATGGGCAAACTAACAATATCACTTTCAAGAACTGTCAGCCAAGGTCGATACACACGCTGCAGCAAAAACAATGAATGAAGTTGGAGCATGGATCAGGGAATGCATGAATGGTAGGTAAGGTTGTTGTCCTCATCGGAAACCCGAATAGGACTCGTCATCTAAGATCATCACATGACGCTGGGGACTGAGACAGAGAACAAAATAAGCTTACCTTGATGTAGATTTAGATGCGCAGTGTTGCATCTTTCACTGCATGCAGTACACACATCACTAGACACTGAGACCGAGAGTCAGCCCTGATATCCAGCCTCTGGTGATCCAGCGCGAGATATCGACGTGATAGAATCAGTGGGCGAGGTTTTCTAGGCCTGCCGCAAAATGGCGTGTCTTGCTCATTATGAATTCGGAGCCCAGTGCCGTTTCATCATCTAACATCGGATGGTATTGAGGAGAAGGAGCATCAAAGCGGCATACCTTGTCAGGTGAATCTGCTTGTCCCATGTTAGCCAATGCCACTAGGATTGCATTCAGAAAGAAACAGTAGTCAAAGTGCAGGTCAGTCATAGCCTAAGAATATCATCAAAGGATAACTCAGCCGGTAATTTCCAGCGTATATTGATTGAAATTGATCATCATGTTGCGAAAGGTGGGAGAGGGGAGAAAAGAAAAGGGTAGCCTACCAAAAGAAGTGTCTGTCGACAGCGCGACGTCGCCGGCAAAATGTTCAAGCTCGATACCACTTGGCATTTATCTTTCTCTATATCCAGACAATTAGCAAAAGCGCTCAACTCGTTGCAGTCAAGAGAAACAATTGCAGCTGTCCGATATGGTTTCAGACTGACGTGCTAAACGGTGTTTTCACTCCTTGTGGTCAAAGACTCTAGTTTGCGGATTTAGGGTTTCATCAGGTAGGTGGACAGAGGGCAAAAAAAGCAGCAGAGAAGAGAAAAATCAGCGCCAACAACTTACACTTTGAGCTCTTTGCCTGGGCAGCTTCTGCAGAGAAATGCAGAAGCGCATTGGTGAAAGGAAGAAAAAGAGAAGCAAAAAGCTCCGGCAAAAGCGTTTTCATAGCTTTTTTTTTTTTTCTGCTGGTGGGGTTGTGGGTCGACACGAGCATTTGCTAGCGTAAGCAGTGCACGTGACTGCGCGCTGCCTCGCGTCCTCTGAGGAGCTCAGGCGCGGCTGAAGCGTGAATGAGTGTTGCTGGAGGAGCTGAGTTGTAAATCGTTTAAAAGTCTAGAGTATCTGCGCTCGAAGTTGAAATCTCAAGTATACTACCTAGTACTACCTAAACAAGTATCTATCTAGGTACTGTCGAAGATGCCTGAGATAGCAGAAGGAACGCAACTTCATGTCCATCCCTGTCGCCTAATGAACTCTCCATTAACATGACCCAGTTGCTCGTATCGTCCACTATCTCCGCCAGCGGCTGGTTGGAAAGACCATTGCCAGCGCCGCAGCCATCGATGACAACAGTGTCTTTGGCAAGGTTGGCACCAGCGGCAAAGAGGTCGAAGCGGCTTTGAAAGGCAGAAAGGTGTGGACGAGACTGTCTCAAACTTGAGTGATTCAGCCTGTTCTGACCCTACCAGGTCATCTCTTCCGGCTCACAAGGCAAATACTTTTGGTATGTTCAAACCCGAGTCCTTGACGAATATTCTTGAGCGCCTCACGCAGCACAGTTCACTGACCTTTCAAAGGATAACATTTGACAAACCGCCACATCTGGTAATGCACTTTGGCATGACGGGTAAGTCCACACTCAGACAACATGAACCTGGAAGCCTCTAGGCCAACCATCCTCACCCCTCAACGTCCAGGCTGGGTCCACATCAACGGCGAACGAACCGCCTACACAAACTACTACAAGAAAATGAAAGAAAGCGACATCGCCCAGTGGCCCCCCAAGTTCTGGAAGTTCCACCTCACCACCGACGCCAAAGACGGCGACCCCGTCCAAGTCGCCTTCACCGACGCCCGCCGCTTCGGCCGCGTCCGCCTCGTCGACTGTCCCGGCGACGCCATCCGCCAGCACTCCCCCCTCGTGGAGAACGGCCCCGACCCCGTCGTCGACAAGGACATCTTCACGGAAACCTACCTGCGGGACAAGATGAAGAACCGCCACGTCCCCGTCAAGGCGTTCCTGCTCGACCAGGCCATGATCAGCGGCATCGGCAACTGGGTCGCCGACGAGACGCTCTACCAGGCCAAGCTCCATCCCGAGCAGTACTCGGATACATTCTCCGCTGCGGAAATCAAGCGGCTGCACGAGGCCATTCGGTACGTCTGCCAGCTGGCCGTCGACAAGCTGGGCGACTCGGACCAGTTCCCGGATCACTGGCTCTTCAAGCACCGCTGGGGAAAGGGCGACAAGGGCGCGGCGACGAAGCTGCCAAACGGAGAGAAGATTGCATTCATTACGGTGGGCGGGAGAACGAGCTGTTATGCGCCGGGCGTGCAGAAGAAGACTGGCGCGGTTGTTTCTGGCGCAAAGGAGGAGCCCCTTGTTGAAAAGGGCGGATCAGGGAAGAAGAGCAAGGCCGTGAAGAACGAGTTGAAGCAAGAGGACAATGAGGGAGAGGAAGAAGAGGTGGTTGAGGAGAAGAAGCCCAAGAGAGCGCGAAAGGTGGCAATCAGGGAAGAGGCTGATGAGCCGGATGACGTGAGTCCGCCTGCTAAAAAGAGACGGGGCAAAGGAGCGACGGAGAAACCAAAAGCTGCTCTTGTGAAAGAGGAGGTGGTGGAAGAAGGACGGCGTCGATCTACTCGGCTGAGGAAGTGATGGCACGTACTGTTGGCACAAGCGTCTGATGATGAAGGTTCCCCTGTACAGAGCAAGCTTTTTTTCGTATATTGTGTTTCGCAGAGCGTGGCATATGTATGGCTCATCTACTTGGCAAACTGATTGCAAATATTGGTCTTTCCACACAACTATCGTGTACGCATCTATTGGATATCTCCCAAAACCCTTTTCGTGTACCACCCGTAGAATTGTTTGAAAGAACTCCAATGTAAAACCGCGCAGCTAGGCTAAATCGCTGGAAGGGGAAACAAAAACCATGCTAGAATATCATGCAAATCATAATCGTGTGCGCCGCCCTCTTCTCCTGGCTGCTGCAAGAAAATCAAAGTCTGTGGTATCGAGCTCCAGGGTTGACCGTCAGTTGTCGGGATGCCGGTGCCGACACGGCATCTCGATGGGGAAAACGAACTACAGACCTCATGTGTGACTGTATGTACGATCCTTGATGAAATCTCGAGTGCACCGAATACAAATGTTATGTCCAGGGTAGAGTGGCAGAGTGCTGGCTGTCGAAAAAAAAAAAAAAAAAAAAAAAAAAAAGCAAACAGCGTCGAGCTGGCGTGGTATTTCTCTGACAGTGGTTGCCAGGGAAGCGGATGCAGATGTTAAAATGCAGAATGAGAAGAAGGGTTCCCTCGGAGGCCTTCGAGGTACGCCTAGCATCTATAGCTCAGCCTGGAGGCCCACGGCGAAGTGATGTCCGGAAGGATCAGCCCACAGGGGAAGTATGGTAACAACGTTGGTAAACGGGGTGCCGTTTTTCTTATAGTTGACAATGCGGACCTGTACTTCCTGGTGGGCACGGATGGCACGCCGCATCTCTTGGACAGCGTCACTAACCCTGCCTGGCGGCGGCATATGAGGAGAGTTTTGCAAAAATCGACAGTTTCGACCCATGATCTCGGGGGCAGAGTAGCCAGTCAGTTGGTAGAAGCCAGGGGAGGCGTAGACGATGGGGGCATCCGGTAAGCTGATATCGCACAAGGTGAGGGAGACGGAGCAGTCGAGAGGGCCAAGGTCAATGGTCGGATTCGGTCGAGAAGCAATTCGTAACTAGGCATAGAACTGTTAGCGTTGCAATGTCTAGCATGGCTTAAGATCGAGCAACGGTTAAGCAAGAGCGAGAGAGATGTTATGCTTACCAGTATACCCATCACATCGATGCCGCTAGCTGAATATATGCCAGGATATATGATGGGGTCGGGAAGCTGTATCCAAGCCGGGGTATTGTTGTTGTTGTTGCTGTTGCTTCCCGCATGGCCATTGGTAGAAGGTTCTTGTGGAAACCCGTACTGATGGCATGATGAGTTAATCTCGGGTTCCGTCTGCATTCAAAACCAAGGCAACGCGGCTGAGGACCGGGTGACTTACGTTTAGAGCTTGGGCTTCCCAGGGATTCAGCTGCAGTGGCAGGTCTGAAGAACCCGAAGATACCATGATTGGTGCTTCGAGCATTGGGGGGGTTAATGTCAACGCCGGCTGGGTGGCAATCTCTTGGGGCCAAGCGGCAAGGGTTGGGCCACTCTATGTAAAGAAGAGGTCACAGCCAGGACGTTGAGAAAAGCTCAAAGGATAGAGAGGACGAGGCAGGTAGAGAGAGTACAGAGTAAAGGGACAAGAGGTACTAAATAGCAGCCATGGTCAAGGTGATCAAGCCCGTATCCAGATCCAGGGATAGAAACTGGAGATATGCGGAAGCAAACAAAGTGGATATTGCAGACCCAGAGTTCAATTTTGGGGGGGAGGGTGAGAGCAGCAGAGCACAAGACATGGAAAGGCGGTTACTCGGGACGAATCTGAGCGGCTGCGTGCAAAAGGATACCTAGGTAAGCAAGCATAAGCAGAGGCAAAGAACTTGACTGTCCCAGATAGCAGCTCCCTGCTGTTTGCTCCTGCTCCTTGCTGGCGCCGGATAGGATCTCAACGGGGCCTTTTCTCTGGGCCTTTCGGACACGACACATGGACACGAGGGGGGGGCGTTTGATTCTGACGCAAGCCATGGCGCGATTTGAGTTGGCAGAAAAGGGCTCTAGCAGGTGCAGATTCCAGGCAGGGGCAGCAGAGCGGAGGCCGGGCAAGAGGGCTGGAAAGGCTGGCAGAAGGCTGGACATCATCGATACAGGGCAGCGATCTCAGATCGAAGCCGCGGGAGGCTCTGGCCGTCATCGAGGGCGAACATGGTGTTAGTCGCGTGTTAGCGCACTATCGCGGGCGGCGACAGACACACGCCAGATCGTGTTAGCGGCAAAGTCCAGCCCCAGGGGTCGACGCGGACCCTGCTGATTGGCCCGATGGCGGCAGATTGGGACCGGACGACGATCGGCTGGATTGCTGGAGCTGATGAAAGGCGATCCGAGAATCCCAGTCTCTTCTGATGCCGGTCGGTCAATGCCCACATGCAGCCCGGCAGGTACATACATCCAGGACTGTACATTAGCTGGGTCCATGTCCATGTCCATGTCTTTGACTGCTTCGGGCAGCTGGTGTCCCGACGGCCATGACGCCTCAGTCAGTGTGTTGGAAACCCGCAGCACGGGAGAGAAGGGGACCTCGTGGTTCTAGACTTGTGGACACGCGATGGTGAGTCGCGGACGAGGGCGCAGGAATGCGGCGTTGCGCCGTGGGCAATGCCAATAATCGTATGTTGGCCGCAGTTTGCAAGCCGGGATCCGGCTTGGGCAACATTGCCTGATTGCCCACGCAGCACTCATCTTGAAAAGACAGCTGCTAGTATTGTCGATTTGTGCTACTGATCCGCACGGAGCAATAATAAGGCAGTCTTCTTGGCCAGCATCAACCCAGTAGTAATAGTCATGATTCGTCGATCTGTCTCAGGCTGACCCGGAACAGACACACAGCAGAGCAGAAAGAGGCGTTTGCTGGGCAGCAATCATCGTACATAGTAGTAGCTTTGTATCAGGCTGTTTGCAGCGACTAGGCTTTGACTGCTTGTGTGATGCTGAAGCCTTCGAAAGACCTCCCGCACGCTCCCTGTGGTGATGGGCTGCATCTCAAGCCATGAGCAGCTACAATTGAAAATAGCAAAGGCAGCTCGCAGCATCGGGATCCACGTACCTGGTCGAGACAAGGCGTGCTATGCCGCGGAGCACACAGAGTGCCACTACTACTACCTTTCGTGGTCTTCCCCCTTCCAGCGTCTGTGCAATTGTCCGAGGCCAGCCAGCTCGCAGGGGTCCGACTGGCAACAGAGCGTCGAGTTGGCGCCGTGGCGGACAAACAACTCCGTCCAGGGCCTGGGATAAGGCATCGTCGCTGAGGCTTGCCAAGCACATGTAGTAGTAGTAGTAGTAGTAGCAGCATGATGGCTGACGGAGGCTTGCAGCATCTGGGGCTCCGATGCATCTCCTGTCACCTCGGCCTGGCCTGAGCAACGTCAGCTGCCTCTGCATGTCTCAGCCGGAAGTACATTTGGTAACACGCAGTGCTGTACAACTACCTAGGCACAAGCATCTGGTTTTTGTCCATGGTCATAGTGTAGCACAAAAGGTCGGCGCTATGACTAGTATGCAAGTACGGCCATCGAGTTGTGCCTCTGTCGTGGACGGAGATGATGCAGAGTGAGATTGCAGCAAGGGGTTCGGGAAGCGCCGTGCCTTGGGTGGAACTCGTGTGTGAGTCTCGTGGATCGGGCATCTCAGATGATTCAGATCACTCATGGTACTCTACCTGCTGTATGGGACCATCGGAATGAATCGAAGCCATCCGGATCTTTTACATTTTGCATAGGTGGGTAGCCAATTCGGATGCTGCACCTCTGCGTCAGGTAATATACCTGTAGATTGATAGCTTCAAGCTGGTCTCAGCTGCCGGCGTCCTTTGTGCACCATCTCCGTACTCGACGCTTGTCGTGCCGGATCAAGAGCTGAAGCGTCAACAGATGACGATCGCATTTAATGATGGATATACAGAAATCGCGGGCATGGGTTGTGAAAATTCAACTGAATGCATCGTTTGAGAAGACGTTGAACTGTTTCGATGAAAGCTCCTGTGATGGACCAGTCAACAGCTGGAGGTGACAGAAGCGGCGGCTTAGGTAATCCTCGATACTAATTGATCCCGTCCCTCCAGATCGCGTCCCTTTCTGTGAAGCGCGTCTCCAACCCCCACCATGCAGTGAGTGAACCTACAAGCAATTGAATCAACTTTCAGTCTCGCCTTGCCTTGCCTTGGGTCCAGCAATGCTCCTGTAGAGCTCATCTCCAGACATTGTCAGCATCACATCATGTCACGCCGTCTCTTGAACCGCGGCCGCGCTGCGGCATCATCATCATCATTGACAGGCACTTCCACCACCACCACCACCACCACCACCACAGCCCTCCCAGACTACGAGCCGCTTTCGTTCCCCCTGTCCCACACTGCCCGAAAGGACCTGATTGAACTGTCCAATAACCGAGGCACTGCGCCGTATGAGAGCCAACTGAAAGAATCGATCCGCCATTTGGGCGGCAGTGTCGGCGATCTAAACGAACGCCTTCGCAGAGGCCAGGATCGACTGGCCGCACTTTGTGAGCGCCGGGAGGAAAAGGGAACGGCCAAGACAGCGGAGGAGGAGCGCCTAGAAAAAGAGCTCCCCGAATTTGAGAAGGAGGTTGAGCGGCTCACCCGCGAATCCGAGCGCGCTCTCAGAGGCTTGATTGACCGGAAAGCCGAACTGGAGGACGAGGCCGCCGTTTTGCAGGACATCAGCACTACTGCTGCAACAAGCACAATAGGTCTGGCGAGAGGTGCAGCCGCATCCCAAGGCAGAAGGAGACCAGCCAATGTTGTTGGCGGCGATGATGAGGACGAAGGAGACCAAAAGAACAACATCGAAGAAGAAGAAGAAGAACAGGCCGTAGCCAGCGTCATCGACACCTTCCGTGAGCTCCGCGCAAAGAAGAGGGCTGAGTACAACGGCCTGAGCGCTCACGAACGATACGCCCTCAACAATGACTATGTGGGATTCAAGAAGCTGTGGCACGAAGCCGCAGCCGGGGAAGACGGGCCTCCGCTACCCGACGCCTCAAGATGGTTTTCGTCGAATGGTGAACCAGACATGACAGTCCCTAGTCGGGACGGGCAAAACGGTTCCCTTGACGACGACGACGACGTGGCTGTCTCGCGCGAAAACCTCAGCATCAACTGTCCGCTGACTCTGCTGCCCATGAAGGAGCCGTACAGGAGTCGCAAGTGTCCGCATGCTTTTGAAAAGGCTGCCATTCTGGACTACCTGCCGCTCAGAGGAGAGCGCCAGTGTCCTCAGACTGGCTGTTCACAGGTGAGAAAGCTTGTTTTATCCTGCCCCCTTGACGCTGACTTGGGTGCTAACATGGAGGACCTAGACATTTTCTCGTGCCCGCTTCGAGCATGACTTTTACTTGGACGAGGCTATGAAACGGAGGATCCAGCGCTGGCAGCAGGCAGAAGAACAGAACCAGCGCGACATGGATGACGAGGACGATGAGGACGAAGCAAACGAATCTCTTTTGCTCGAAAGAGAACACCGGACAAGGGGAAGCGGCAGAGGAGTCAAGAAGGAGGAGAGATGAAGGGGGCCTTCACGACGACAGGAGCAGACAGACAGACAGAATACACAATGTGATACCCACCATAAATTCATATGGCAATTTGACAATGGCGCTTGTCAAAGAACATTCGAGTATCCCTAGCTCTGCTTGCCGCGGATTGCAATTCGTTTTGTCCTTTTCCCTCGTCTTCTTCCAAAATATCCATCTCTACCAGTTATTGTACAGTAGCGATCTGCCATCCGCCTCTTTGTCCCGAGCTCTATAGCACACCATAGGGGTATCATCTTTCCTCCTGCAACCATGTTGATACACATTCATCTGCCAAACTCCTCCTCCAGTCATTCTGGAGATGGCTGTCCGTGATGCTTGACGCTCTCGCTCGCCATTGACCTTTTTCTTTTCCTTCTTCACACCTTGCGCACAGCAAAGAAATAGTTGCCCACCTTCTCGCTGCCCTTGACCTCCCTCCACCCCAGCCCAGGCACATACACAACCCCCACGACCTTTGCGCTATCCCATCCCTTTCCCGCCAGATACCCCCTCAGCTCATCCTCGTTAATGTACTTGTTCCAATCGTGCGTCCCCGGCGGCACAATGCGCAGTATATCCTCGGCAATCAGGTTCGTCGTCAACCAGCTCATCCACGTCCTCGCAATGGTGCTCATGACGAGCCAGCCTCCCGGCTTCACCAGCGGCCGCACGCGGTCCAGGAACGCGGCGGGATCGTCGACGTGCTCAAGGACCTCGAACAGCGTGACGACGTCGTAGCCCTCGCCGTCGGCGGTGGGGACGGGCAGCTGCTCGACAGAGGTCAGCTTGTACGTCAGCTTGCCGGCCAGGCTAGGGTCCTTGCGAGCGTGGGCTTTTGCGACGGCGAGGACCGAGGGCGTGGGGTCGATGGCCGTGACGTGCTTGGTCGAGGGCAGGCGGGCGGCGCTCTCGGCGAAGATGCCGCCGCCGCAGCCAATGTCGAGGTACGTGATGCTGGCGTCTGGGATGCCGGTGCTGGTGCTGGTGGTGGTGGTGGAGGAAAAGGAAGAAGAAGAAGAAGAAGCGGGAGAGGATTCTGCTAGACAGGCGCGAATTAGGTCGTGGCGGAGGGGATTCATGAGGTGCAGCAGGCGGGAGGAGCCGTGGGGCTCCCACCACTCGGCGGCGAGGGCGGTGAAGTGGGAGACTTCATTGGGGTTGACGGAGGAAAAGGTTGAGTGGCATCGTGATGTTGGTGATGTTGGTGATGGTGTTGTTGTTGTTGCTGCTGTTGATGGTGCAGCTGTGACTGTAGCTGTAAGAGCACGAGGAAAAGAAGCCAATTGAGGTCGCAAACCAGGCACGAGCCGCCGTGAGAAGCCACTGGCGGCAGCGGCCACTGCTCGGGTCGGCGCGGGCATCTGGAACAAGAATGGCAGAAGAACAGGTAGACAGACAGACAGACAAATGATGGAGGGAACACAGTCCCAAATGCTCGGAGGCTCGGAGGCTGCCGAGGTGGTGATGTCAATGCGCTACCAGGGGGGGAAGTTGGTGGGAAACAAAAGCCGGCTGACAAAGAAAAGCAGAACTCCGAGCTCAATTGAAATCTGATCCTTTGGAGGGGCTCCGGCGTGCCGCGGGACTTTTTTTTTTTCTTGGAATGGTGGAGAAAGAAGAACCCTGAGGTGAGGATACCCGCGCGGCTGGCGATTGGTGTTTGCTCGGGGAATGGCACCGATGGTTGATGGGTACCTCTTTTGGCTGACTTTTTTGTTTGTTTAGAAAGTGAGTGCTTGTATGTATCACAGTATTGTCATCCATTGCTGGTGAGTACTTACCTTAAGTATCGACATGCTTTGTGACTGCGACCGGAATAGGGTATGAGACGGATGTATTTCTTGTAGAGAAATCACATACCTCCGACTAACACGGCACTTCATACGATCAACATAGGAAGTCAAACCCTCACATTGCCCTTGTAGACCACCCTCAAACATCAGTATTACTACTCGTAGTAATCAATGTCCCAACATACAGCCTCTGGAACCACCGTAGCCTCCACGCCTCGGCTTACACATCATTACGAGTCTGACAAAGTCGCATGTGGTATTAGCAGTCGCTTAGGTATGTATTAGCAGTCTTAGTCTCTGATGCCATCATCAGCTCTAGCGGATACGACGCACCGAGGTCGCAGTTTTGCTTGCAGGTACTCCGTACATCAGATACATTAAAAGCTTGTGATTGACACAACAACTCTACCAATCTCTCGGCTTCTTGTTGTCCCCAAACATATCCAACTTACTCACTACAAACCACCACAAAGAGCCAAAGCCGAGAATAGCCCCAATCTCGTTCGGATACTCTTTCAGCCCGCCTCCAGTATTGACAAACCGCGAACCGTCTCCGTCCCTCTACAAAGCCCATCAATCCCGCTCGGCATTTCTGCCCCTCTATTCCTGTACTTCGCCATTTTGCGCTCGGCTTTCGGGTCACACTCAAAGCAAAAACTCACCTTACTCACACGAGCCTGGGAAGCCAGCCACTTGGATTGTTCCTCGGCCAATCTCATTCCACTTCTGACCTCTCTACCTAATAATAAGACTACTTGCTACTTTTACTTGCGTCCAGCTCGGAGCCGCAAACTGCGCGGGTCCGGATTGCTCGCCAAAAGAGAGCCCAGGAGTCACGGGTACAAGCCGTCTGCGCGGAGTTTTGCCCCGACGCTGCGCCGGACAAGTCCAGACTTCAAAAGTACTGGTGACTTTCCGCCCGCCTTTGAACCACCAACATCGTCAGAGTCATAACTCCTCCCACCACCTCTCGACATTCTCGAATACCCGACTCTCGACTATTGCCCTCCTTCTATTTGTCGATTCTACTGCTTGGATATTATCGCTTGGACTGAACCTGCGCCCATTGACAGCAAGCGGCACCGAATACTCACCCAAACCCGCACATCCAAACGCAAGATGCCCTCCACCACCATAGACCAGAGTCAATTCGACTCCATCCCCGACTCCATCGAGGCCTTCCGTACGCTCTCCCCCCTCTCTCTCTCTTCCCCGATTTTGCCCTCCGCCAAATGCGTTTGATCCAACGTACTGACAATTCTCTTTCTCTCCCTTCGCAGGTAGAGGCGAGTTCCTCGTCGTCCTCGACGACCCCTCGCGCGAAAACGAAGCCGACCTCATCATCGCCGCCGACGCCATCACCACCGAGCAAATGGCCTGGATGGTCCGGCACTCGTCCGGCCTCATCTGCGCCCCCATCACCCACGCCCGCGCCGCCGCCCTCGACCTGCCGCCCATGGTCCAGCACAGCCAGGACCCCCGCGGCACCGCCTACACCGTCTCCGTCGACGCCGCCCACCCTTCCGTCACCACCGGCATCAGCGCCCACGACCGCGCCCTCGCCTGCCGCGTCCTCGCCGACCCGGCCGCCACCGCCGCCAGCCTGCGCCGCCCAGGCCACGTCCTGCCCCTGCGCGCTGCTCCGGGGGGCGTCCGCGCCAGGAACGGCCACACCGAGGCCGCGACTGAGTTTTGCCGTCTGGCCGGTAAAGTCGAGGCGGGCGTCATCTGCGAGATTGTCGACGACGGCGAGGAGGTGCCTGGGCAGGCGGTGCGGAATAGCCCGGGTATGCTGCGCGGCGAGGCGTGTATCGCGTTTGCGAGGAAATGGGGGCTCAAGGTGTGCACCATTGCTGATTTGGTGGCCTATGTCGAGAAGACGGAGGGCAAGCTGCCCGTCAATGGATCAAATTGAGACACGCGCGAAATGCGAGAGAGTCGTGAAAGAAGCATAGGGGAGAAAAGAACAAAAAAAAAAAGGCTTGAAACGACGAGAGGATCAGGAGAGCCCAGAACAGCACAAGCGAAAAGCAAGGGAAGCTCAAAGGGGGAAAAAGAGAAAGGATCACCTCATTTCTCCATCAGCAAAGTCACTTCAGTTCCACGTCCATGGTCAGTCAATCTCTGCTCGGCGCATACGGCAAGTGGCAGAACGACCCGCGGGATATCACAAGAGGGGGCAAAATATCACACTCTACTCCAACCACTTGACCCTGTATTCAAACCTCTTATTCCTACCTACTTCTACTACATATTAGTGTATATCTGTCATGTACTTTTTATGGCCATGGTCTAGGTTAGATTCATCTACTCATACGGCGCTGTTTGCATACCTACCGCAATATACATGCATAATGATGTCCATCAACAACACTCGCGGGGTCAACCGCATTTGCACACAACTTCGCCATGCTATATAAGATATGTTCAACGACTATTCAACGACTACTACCAAGATATGCCTCGCTTTGAATTTGCTCTCGAGTCCCAGCTGACATACAGCTAAACTCCAACGCAAGAAAAACGCCTGTGAATGCTCCATCTCGTTCATAGCTTTGACAATTGCTCACAAAAGAAATCAATAAAAGCAGACACACGACGACATTACGCCATAAAGTCCTCCTCGATGTTGCCCTGACCGCCGCCGCCGCCGCCGCCGCCCTTGGTCTGGTTGAGCCCCAACTTAAGTTCTGCAGCCTTCTCGAGCAGCTCGTCCGTGTCGCGGTCCGGCATCGTCAACGGCGGCGCCGTGTTGGACCGGACTTGCACCTTGACCTCGCCTTGCACTCCGTCCAACTTTATCGTCGAGAGCGTGGCGCCACCCGGCGGTGGCCTTAGGTTCGGCTGCGGCGCGAGGCTCACCAGCTCGCGGAAGAAATTGTTGGCCGCTTCGCAGCCGTCCAGCAGCCACTTCAGGCAAATGGTGACCCGCTCCTTGGCAAAGGGGTTGTGGTCGTCGTACGCGCAGCAGTTGAGAAGGGGCACAATGCCGTTGTACTTCATCATCTGCATCTGCACCTGCGCATTGCCCGGGCTGCTCTGGCCGGGAGGAGGCTGCAGCAGCGTTGCGATGATGGTAAAGATCTGTCCCTTGATGCCGGACCATGGGAACTTGTGAGCCGGCTCCTGCAGGGGTGGAGGCGGCGGCGACGGGGACACACACTCGGGCCCTGTCGAGTATGGCCGCTCCACCATTGGGTCGTTGACGTCGCTGCCGTTGGTGTTGGTGTTGAGGCTGGGGGCGCTCTCCGCCGACGGCGCGCGCTTGGGCACTTCGACAAGTGGTTTCTTCGGCACTGCGGCCTCGAGGCTGCTGAGGATCGTGATCAGATCATAGATGGCCTGCCACTCGATCAGGTGCGGTCGCATGTCCACCATTTCAGCCACGGTCGTCAGAAACTCCAGGTACTGAGCCAACCCATCCTTGGCTCGCTCCATATCCCAGCTGTCAACCGGGAACTCGGCTGGGTCACGGTTCTCTTCTCGAATCTGCGCTTGCAGGTGCATCAGTGCCGCGCATTCCGGCACAATACGGCTCCGGAAGAAGCTGAAGAAGAAGTGCGCCAGCTTGAGATCTCTCGTCTGGTCTTTGGAGTCTTGCGTGGTGGAGCTGGCTGCTCGGGCTCGGAGCATGTGGTTGACGAGGCGCAACAGAACCGTCTGTGCCGGAGAGATGATGTCCTTGGGAATTCTCAACGAGTTCCACGCATACGGCACCAGCGCGCTGTGGTGAATGGCTTCCACAATCTGTGTCGTGACTTGGAAGATGAGGCTCTGCTCGTCCTTGTCCCACACGGCAATGAAGACGAGCAGCTCCCGGAGCAGACTCTTGCCGCAGTCCAGGGCCAGGAACATTCTGCATCGCGTCTTTTGCAAGTTTTCTCCAGCACGTGTCAAGCCGGACCCTGCGTGATCCAGTATGCACGACTTCACTATCATGTGCAACGCTTCGATCTGCTTAGGATCCAAAATGTTGGGCACTTCGGTCAAAAGTCCGGTCAATGGCCCATCGCCATATGATTCGTCGTCGTCAACCTCCTCATCGTCCATCATGTCGTCCATATAATCATGAGGATAGTCATGATCATGATGGTGATGGTGATGGTGATGGTGGTGGCAATGATGGTGGTGATGGTCATCTTCGTTTTCATGATGATGATGGTGGTGATAGTGGTGGTCGCAATCCTCAACCTCGTTGCCAGAGGCGGCATGTTCGTGATGGTGATGGTCGTGATCATATTCGTGGACGTGTTCATGGTCATGCTCGTGTTCGTGATCATGATGGTGATGGCACTCATGGTCGTCCTCATGATGGTGATGGTGGTGGTGGTGGCGGAGATAGCAGTCGTGGCAGTCGTGACAGTGCTCATGATCCGAGAGGTCCTCTTCGGCGCCCTCGGGAGGCGGCGAGTGGTCCGCTCGGTATGAATGGGCATATCGATGAACCAGGTTGTTCCGGCAATGCTCCGTACGCGACTGGGCAAACTCCACCGAAGGCATGCCCACCACCCAGTCTTCGTAGTTGGGGTCGCGTGCTCGGAGCCACCAGGTATCAATCTCGCGCGACACACGAGCGTACAGCCGATCCTGCTCAAACTTGTCCGTCTCATCCGGCTTCCATACCGGGTTGATCTTGTCGTAATTATCGTCCATGATAACGGGTGGCGCTCCAGGGACATCTGGAAGCCAGTTCCAGGCCAGTGGCCGTATAGGGGCCAAGTTGCCCGGCGGTTTGTCTGCATGGTTTTGCGCGTAGTCCTTGAGCAGCGCCCTTGCCGTGTCGCACATTTTCGAGTTTCGATCGAGCCAGTGCTGAACCTGCAGCTTCGCCACATCTGGGCGGAAGCCCGACCCGTCACTCATGATCTCCTCTGGGCTCGACAGCGCACCGTCATCGTCAAACAGCACGTCGAACCAAAAAGACATCTTGTTTCGATCATGCTTGGCAGTCCAGTTATGAACTTGCTGCAGTGAAGTCACAAGCAGTTTTTTGTCTAAACAACAAGTCAGCCTGCGTTGTTCCTTCTCCATCTTGGGGGTAAGCAAAGATCAGCATCCACATACATAATTCGGTGATGTCCGTAAGCTTTAGCCTCTGGGTCTCGTCCAATATCTCGCCGTCATAACCCTTACTTGTGACGTTAACACAGAGAATAATCGTCTGATAGACCATCTGGTCAAAGTGCACCGCGGCACAGATATCCTGAGGAACCTCGGGCTCGGCATTCACGAGGAGATTGCGGGCGATGTGCATGAGTTTGATGAGAGTGCCCAGGTCTTCCTTGACAGACACGTGGTTGAGGACGATCAAGGCCGTGCTCTCCTGGGGACTGACTCCCTTGTCGGGGTCATTCAAAGCCGACAGCGGTCCCACTGACCGCGAAGTCAAGCTCGGGATGGCAGCCGCGAAGATCCTGGTCAGCCATATCCAGATGGCCACGTTCCGCGCCAACGCCTCTCTTTTCGACGATGCCGTCCAGGTTAGCCAGCGCTCCAGAAACCCAGCTGCTGTAGATTCAGTTCATCTTACCTGACTTTTCGAAGCGTGTGCGTCTTCTCCAGCGTCTTGGAAATCATCGAGTTGACTCGCGCCGTTGTCTGAGGGCCCATGGGCGGTGACTGTGTGAAATGGCCCTCGAGGCAGATGAGTGCGGCTGAGAAGCATCGCTCCTCGATAGTCTCGCCTGAGTCGCCGCCTCCATTTTCCTGTGGCCGCGGCGCAGCAACATCCTGTCCCAGCACCGTGGTATCGTTGATGTCAATCGACTCTGCCATCCTCATCTCTGCGGCCGTTGTGCGGGGAAGAGTCTGGACAGATACAGAGCAGAGCAGAGGCGATGACGACGAGGCGCGTGTGAGCAGGCTCTTGATAATTGGTTGCAGGTTAAAGAAGTTGAATTGCTGGGATGGTTTCGCAGGGAAAAAAAAAAGTTGCCGGCTTGGTAAGCATCAGAGCCCCGCTATATCGGGAATAGAGAGTCCAACAACGAGGCGATAATTAGAAGGAAGTTGCTACCTAGAGCTATGCTGAATATCTCTTTGTTTCATTCAGTAGGGGCATCATGAGTCTGACTAAGATAGATTGAAGGAGTTTGGAAACATGAGAAGTCGATGGATGGCATCTTCGCGGTTGAAGTTGTTTCCCTGTCAACGAGAGCGGCGACATCCGTCTTCTTTCCCTGCCTCGGGACAGGAGCCGCCAGGTACCGAGATAGCGATAAGGTACCTTGATGGTCCCTGCACTGTAGCCGGTCTCTGAACAGGCACTGCTTCGTCTCCTGTCAGATACATTGACCGTCATCACTTGAAGCAACTCTGTGACATCTCCAAATGCTCGTATAGCCATCCATGGATCCCGTCTGTCATCTCAGAATATCACATAAGCGCGCTAGGCTCTATAAAAGTCAAACTTGGTGATGACGTGCTCCTTGCTCTGAACTCTCGTCGAAAAAAAAAGTACAGGATAAAAGATAGACGTGCCCCTCCAAAGGTATTGACCTATCGATAGAGGGGTAATAACTCCGATAGCAGCAGAAAACATCAACCACCACTTTTTTCTTGGTCCTGTGAAGCTGCGCCTTTTCTTCAAACCACTATAAGTCACCATACCCAGACACTTCCATACTTCTCAATAGCAATCTACAGTAGGTGATGCGCTCTTTGTCTTGATTCGCCTCTTGTACAGGCAAATCAACTAACACCAGGCACCAGCAGCCGTCATCATGGGCGACCTCCCTACCACCTTCGACCGTATGTCACGATAGCTTCACAAACCAGCCCTCAATGCGACCATGTCTCTAACTCCCTCGTCCAGAGCCCGTCCACATTGCCGTCATTGGCGGCACCGGCCTTGCCCAGCTCGAGGGCTACGAGCCCATTGCCCTCGTCAACCCCCTCACCCCCTGGGGATATCCC